CATGGACTAAAAAATTGGCGTCCATCTAGCGGTGAAAGTTGGAACTACAAAAATATAAAAATGCGATTTTCTCGAAAATTAGCGAACTTTGAGTACTTCTGAGGCTCAGAAAGTGCTATGCGATCGCATTAGATCCAAAATAAAGCAATAAAAGTTTCCTGAAAGCTTTAATAAAGAAAATGAAAAATATGTCATTTCATGGAGCAAAATTGTGGCGCCATCTAGCGGCGAAACTGCGAACTAAACGGAAAAACCGTATGTCCGAACACGCGTTAAGGAAAAATATGAAAAGTAATATTTTGCAACTTTGACGACGTAGTATGCTCCTCTAGACATTTTAAAGCAATTTTTGTTGAACAAGTTATTCATTTTTTTGCCTATTAAGCCTAGAAAATCAATTTTTATTTCACCCCTTAACGCGTGTTCGGACATACGTTTTTTCAGTTTAGTTCGCAGTTTCGCCGCTAGATGACGCCACAAATTTTCTCCATAAAATGACATTTTTTTTATTTTCTTTATTAAAGCTTCCAGGAAACTTTTATTGCATTATTTTGCTTCTAATGCGATCACATAACACTTGCCGAGCCTCAGAAGTACTCAAAGTTCGCTAATTTTCGAGAAAATCGCATTTTTATATTTTTGTAGTTCCAACTTTCACCGCTAGATGGACGGCAATTTTTTAGTCCATGTTTTGGACTATTTTTCTATTTTCTTTTCTAGCGCTTTTAGGAGGTTCTTGTATTCCGTAGGCGACAAGGAACAATTTGTATATCTCAGAATTTCGGAAAAGTCCCTAATTTTCGAGAAAATCGAGATTTTAGTTTTTCGTAGTTCCGCCGCTCGCCGCTAGATGGCGCCACCTGTACCATTTTCCTACCAAATTCGACAAAAATTGATTTTCTGGCTTTATTAGGCATCAAAACGCATCAAACCCTAATAGAAATTTGCTTCTAAATGCCTCAGGGACCATACTACGTCATCAAAGTGCCGAAATATTCATTTTTTTATTTTCCTTATATGCGTGTTCGGACCCTCATTTTTTAGGTTTAGTTCAGCTGTTTCGCCGCTAGATGGACACCAATGATTTAGTCCATAAAATGCACTATTTGTATATGCTATACTTTGTAGTTTTATATCTTTTCTTATTCTGTCAATAGAATTTTATATTTGTATTTAATAAAGACACACATATAAGTCCGTTTTGGATCTGAAGTGTATTTTAGTAAAACAAAGATTGCACTATTTGTAACGGTTCGCTACTGCGCATGTGGTCAAAATTCAAAATTGACCGTTAATTTCCAGTTAATTTCCAAATTTTTTCACCCCTTAAACCTGGACAACTCAAGTTAGTCTGGATATGTCCAAGAATATTTTTTGAACGAAGATATATGTATAAAACTGTATATTTATCCGGAAATAATGTTTTTAAAATGTATGTGTTGAATATCTAACGGTGGGTGTTTTGCAATATACCCAATAACGAAAATTCCAAGCGCGAGCAAATTCAATTTTTACATTGAAGTCTATGAAGATCAGTTTTTTCGGTGCTTATTCCTCCGTGGCAAGTCCGATTTAAAATTTTTTTTCTATGCTATCTGGATGTACATACGCATGTGCATGCAAAATTTGATGAGAATTGGTTGAGTGGTGCAAAAGAAAAACGCGGACAAAGAAGTTGCAAAGTCAAGTATAAGAGCTTCGCTCGCCTTCGGCTCGCTCGCTCAATAATTAAATAAAATTATTCTAAAATTAGTATTGTATTTAATAATAAATAAAATGCATTCAAGAACACAATTAATAAATATTTTGTTTCATAAATCTAGAACGAAAATAAACATGCATAATTTTTATACAAATACATGTTAATTATAAATATATGTTAAGCAAATGGTTTTCATGTACATCAGTTGTAAAATATTACGAACTTTTAATTTACAATAAACAGCGCTGTAATGTAAAAATAAATAGTCAAAATTTTATTAAGCACTAGATAATTTATTTTCAATGACTAAATTTGTTTGCTTAAAGAACATTAAATTTAATTGAACACTAGCAGTATTGTTGGATATTAAAATATATTAACAACGTGCAGAAATCACACGTGCACGACGTTCATCCACACAAGAAGAAAATTCTTCAACTAAATCGGAACACTTCAAAATTTCTTTCGGATGATCTTGATAACATTTGAGTACTTTTTCTGAACTGTTCTGGCATGGTTGTACAGTATCTTCAATATTTGGTTTTTTACCATCTGTAAAAGGTAACATTATCTATCTATATTGCATATATATAATTTTATAATTATCATATACTATTAGAGAGCTGATATGCATATATGTATATATAAAAAATCATAAACTAATTGAACACATTTTATAAAAATGGTTAATTTTGTAACTCTTAAGTATTAATTAATTTTATACACTACTTTTAAGCCATAAATAATCAACCTTAAGAGAAGTTGAAAAGTTATAAATAATAACAAATTAAGTTTTAGATATAAATAACTATTTATATTATGTTAAACATACCATTTGCTTTTAATTCATTTACTGCTCTTTTATATTCTAGATTTATAATATTATTAATCTTTGCATGCTTTTGCTGCAAATTCTCCAAGCGTTTTTGCCAATATTTTTCTTGGTTACGCAGTTCCTGTTCTTTTTGTTGCTGCATTTTAAGGGCAGTTATTGTTAATTGTGGATAAGGGACGGCGTATCCAGAAGTGACTGCTGTATCACCACTTTGAGAATACTGTGGAGATACATTTTCGCTAGGAGATGGTGTCTTAACAGTACTAGGTCTTACTTCATTCCCAATTTCACTTTTTTCATTAACTTTTTGAATTAATCGTTCTACAACTGATTCTGATATTCCTACAACACCTATTTCTTCATTATTTATAGTAAGTTTACGAGTGCTTTGTACAGAACCCATTTCAATGATTTATATTTAATTTCAAATAAATCAAAATTGTTCATATACTACTTTTCACTTTAAATAACCAACAATTAAATATGTAAAACTGCTTGCCTGCAAAATATATTAAAAAATTATGGAAAAGATAATATTACACAAAATTATTTGCATGTATAATATAATATATTATGTATTAATATTTAATTCTGTTAGAAACAAATCAAATTCAATGACAGTATTTTATGTTCTTAAAATAGTATTGTTTACTATTACATAACCTTAATCATCGGTTTTCGTCAAAGAACAAATATATCATTAACATTACTTTTCCAGTTATTTATACTTTTATCATTTACAAAAATGACATATATGACATGCATAAACGGTTTGACATTTTCTGTTTTGAACATACAATATTATTATAACAATTTTAATATAATATTTACATACCAATTTTTAGATGTACTAATTTAGCTGTTACCAACATAGCAATCGGTTTACTCTATTTACTGCCGTCAATACATGTTATCATTTATGAATATAAATTTTTCAAATAAAAAATGAGTTGATTCTAATATTCCAACAATTATAAGACTGTAATTATTCTGAACATTTTTACATACCTATCACAGACTGTTCCAATCACATTTTAGACTATAGAATGTCATACTATTATTTTCATACTAAAATTCAGCGCAGTAAATAGAAGGAAGAGAGATACGCTTCAGATAATAGGGACACACTGTATATGTATATCCAATTTCGCTTGGTTCAGTAAATTTTTACTTCTTACAAGCAATAATAATAGGTGAAAGCTGAGAGCTTTCTAGTTGCCACTATAGATATACGGCATAATAAACCTCATAATTTATTATTATTATTGAACAGATCTCTTCTATCCCACCTTACAAAAATAAATTTTTACAGGGAAAGGATACTCATCTACGTTTATTTATTCATTATATAGATATATTGGTATAAATAATTTTATTAAAAGCTGAACTGTTATTGAATAAGTAAGAATTATTTTTTTATTGCTTTTTGTATGCCAATACTACTATACAAACAAAAAATATACATGCGGATATAAAAAAATTCAATCGCATCAAGTCCATTTTTTATAACTTAGTGAACACGTCACTAAATTTGCGAAAAAGTTGCCGAAAGTTGTCAAAGGTACTTATGAAGCTTATAATTAAACGTTGCGAATATTCTTGGACTTATTCACCTGAAATGAAAATCTAATTCTGACGTCATTAAATGAGGTTTATTTATATAATTTCTGAGGTTACATGTACTTTGAACTGAACGTTGTCTACATACGTCTCATACCATTTACCGGTGCGTATTTTTACCGTTTCATTTTATTTTTAGTACAGTCATATAGCTTTTAGTTTAAACAAACGATTTAATTAAAATAATTCTGGAGTTAATGAGTTTAGTACTTTTTTCGCATAAAACATTCGCATATTATTAATTATTGTTTCTTTTAGAAATCATATCTTTATTATAATAATTTTTTATTTAATTCCGATATAATAGGAATTTGTATTATTAAACAATTATTAGAATAGTGAAATTGCAATAATTAAGCACATTCTAAATTGTAATAAATATTTTAGAAATTTGTGCTTGTTCATAGTGCTTATTACATGCAATTTGTTTTTTTATTGCATATGACATTTAGAAATGTAATGCCTTAATTTTATGAAAATTATTGTTTTAAAAATAAAAGATTAGATAAGACTTTTGTTGAAATGATAAGATATCCGTATATAGGTTAAACTGAAATAATGTTAAATTTGTATTGGAGTTTATATTACATTTATTAAATTTATATTAATATTATAAATGCTATTTTCTATAAATATATGCATTAAATTTAATGTTAAAGCATCTATAATCTCTTTAAAATATTAAGGTTTTATTATATTTGCTACTAATATTGCATATATATGTCATTTTTAATTTATTATGTGAGGTTATAATTAATTTTTTTATGTGTTTCAGATATTTGCATAAGTTAAAAAGAAAGTAGGAAATATGAGTCTACAGTGGACATTGATCGCTGGCTTTCTTTACGCTGAAATTGTTGTAGTCTTACTATTAGTATTACCAATATTTTCTCCTACCAGATGGCAAAAGCTCTTTAAATCTCGATTTCTGCAGAGTTTAAGCAATCGAGCATCTTTTTATTTCTTAATATTACTTGCAATACTAGTTCTATTTTTATTAGATGCTATTAGAGAGATGCGAAAATATTCTTCACCTGAACATTCAGATCATGGTCACTTAGATGCTGAAATGCAGGGTATGTACTAGATTTGACTAAATATTGTGTTCTAATTATTCTAATAAATTTTTTAGATTTATCTCTATTTTTTGTAGGTAATATGAGATTATTCAGAGCACAAAGAAACTTTTATATATCTGGCTTTGCATTGTTTTTAAGTCTTGTCATACGTCGTCTTGTAACCCTAATTTCTACTCAAGCTACACTATTAGCGCAAAGTGCAGCAGCTATGCGACAAGCTCAATCTGCAACTACAACGGCAAAAAGTTTATTATCTCAGAAAACAACTGGAGAAAGTGCACAGAATGATTCTAATGAAGCACATGATAAAGTACTATCAGACCTGAAAAATCAAATTAAGGAATTACAAGTAAAAAATCAAGATTTAGAAAATCAGCTTACAAAGGAGAAGAAAGATAAAGAAGCATTAAAATCGCAAGCTGAGTCCCTTGCAAAGGAGTATGATCGTTTAAGCGATGAACATGGTAAATTGGTTCACTCAGATGGTGATAAAAAAAGTGATTAAGTTATATTTTTTCCTTTTTTGTTATTTTTTTATTTTGTTTTCTTAATTATTTTATAATTTGTAATCCCAATATTTTGTTTGATATTTTATATTATATGAAGTTAAAGTTCTACAAAAATTCATGTAACGTAGACAATAAGTTATGTAATAGAGTATTTATCAAGAGTATCTCTATGATTAAGATACAGATATGATTAAGATAAGTTTGTATTTTATAAATATTTAAATATATGAAATTAATATTGTATTTTTGAAAATATTGTTATGCTACTGCAGTAATTAACGGATGCACCTATAATATTGGTTGAAATGATATAAATTATATGTAAGTAATTTTGTTTATTTTTCATTATGCGATTTTATATTTAAATATTTTATTTATCAAATTTGTATGATTTGTTGGTATTTTATTACTAAAAACAGCTAATAAACAGTTAAAATTAAAATTTGTCTTATAACAATATTTTAGTATAGATAAAAAGAAGAGACTATAATGATTCAAATTTATATATTGCCTGTAGCAGTAATTTAAAATAAAATATATATCATGCGTGTATAGAAATTCTCAAGTTCCCGAACTATTAGAGTTCCTAAGTTTTCAAATTCCCAAATTTTCTGGAAAGATATTCATGTATAACATTACATTATAAATCATATTAACTAAAAACTCACTGGGTACATGTGTTTGGCCTCATAAAAATTGTAAACGCACATGCGTATTGCGAATCGTGTTCGAACCAATCAGAGCCAATGTTCGTATAATGGCCGAAAAGTCGTCAGACGATGGGTATAATCCCTCATTGATCGAATAAGGCTCGTGTTATGAAAAAAATTACTATCTGTTAATTTTCTACCACTTTTTATTGATTTCTATTCTATTTAATAGAGTGATTCGATAATTAAATATGGCTGGTACAGTTAAATCAGGCCCTCAGGATTTGCCACCTGAAGGAGGATATGCACCTTTTCATTATGAAAGATCTAAACTTCGTACTATTATTGGAGGTATAAATATATGCTCTTTTTATTCTGTTATCTAATATGAAACAATTATAAGAAGGAATTTTTCAAACAATAACGGATTAAATCTAAATGTTAAATACACTTAAGTTGTATAACATGTCATGTCTATTTACGAAATGTACAAGTTCCAAAGAGTTTAATAATATTAAAAATACTATTGAATGTTATAAAAATACATATTGTTAATTTGACATCATTTTGTATTTAGCAAAATTAATATGTAGAATCTGTGACAAGTTAAATCTGCTTTTTCTCTTACCATTTTCTGTTTAAGTATTATGATTTCTTATGTTTATTGCTCTAAATATTTTAAATGTATTTTCACATAAAATACGATAAAAATATCGTCTTTGTAAATTGTATATGATTTATAATTGATTGTTTTGCAACAAATCATTGAAGAAATTTTTCTAGTAATGTTTGTCTATTATTATTATTATTAGTATTCGTAGAAAAATTTGTTAATATTTATTTATTATTAAACTGTTATAATGAAATAACAGATTTTAAGACATTAAAAGTTTGATGTATTTCAATGACATTATAAAATAATAATTATAATATGTCAATTTGAAGCTTCAAGTTTGCTCAAAATGATTGTATACATTTTTTACAAATGTTTCTAATATGAACTGAATAGTTATGAAAGAATGGTTTTATCAAATATTATGTATAATATATAGTAACATGATTATGATTGTTTTATATTATGAAATTGTACCAAATGTTTTATTTTCAAAATCCAACATTCTGTGTGCATCAACTAGATATTAATACAAGAATGATTTTAAATAAAAGTATGAATATTTATATAATATATATACAATTTTAGGTCGCCTTGGCACTGCCCTTTTCTATGGCATTTCTCTTGGTGGATTTTATCTGTATTTTTTAAATCTTAGAGATGTTAGAAAAAGTCAGATTGAGATGAGAAGTTCACGATTTGCAATAACTCCCTTATTAGAAGCAGAAAGAGATAGAGCGTAAGACCTATATCTGATAATTTTCATACTAAATTAATAGTATTTAATACTTTCACTGCTGGAAGGACCTTTCATTTTCTTCATCAGAAGTAATTTAACCTTTTATCAGAAATATGTCTTTAGTATTTTTGCTTTAAGACATTTACTTTCCTTATCAGTCAGTACTTGGCTGAATTAATTATTAAAAATTAATTAATAACAACATCAAACATTCTCACTATAGCATAGTATGTTTCATTCAAGCATGAAGTTGCTATCATAATACTCAGTAGAACCAAAAATACATAATAGTTGCAGCACATTACCAGCAGTGGAAGTTTTTTTGATTAAATAAATTACGTCAAATAAATATGCTAGTTAATCATGTTCATATTGAATACACATATTAGGATAATCAAAATTTATTTACTGGTAACATATTAAACATTAGAAAAATTGTTTATTGCAGGCTTATTAAACACATGAAACGTGTAAGAGATGAAGAAGCTGATTTGATGAAAGATGTTGAAGGGTGGGAAGTGGGAACATTGTATGGAACACCAATATTCTATCAAGAGAGACCTGAATATTTTGAACCTCGACCAACTGATGCTTATGTATTTTCAGATCCTAACGACTTTGTCAATCGTTTATTCCGTATAGCATATTTATAAATTTTTCTTCTGAAAATATTGTATAATAGTATATTAAATAATAGAAAACTATAAGTAACAAAAATTTCTTGTTATTACCATAATAAATTATTAACCTTATTAAATTTTATAGAAATATGTATATAAAAGTACATAAATGACACCATATGATTTTTCAATGGATGTTATTTTAATAGATTTAATAAAAATATATGTTTACATAATAGTTAATTTTGTTTTTATTGAATAGGATTATGATTATAGAATATTTTCTGAAAAATTTCTGCAAAAATCGCTAATTTTTTTTTCTGCTAGTTTTTTAAACTAATTTATTAAACATTGATTTTTTTCGAAATGAAAGGAAATGACGATGATATGCTTTAAAAAGAACAATGATTAGCTTAGTAATGTTCTGAAGGTAACAAGTCGAAACAGTCAATAAACGCAAAAAATGTATTCGAAATTTAATTCTATTAATTTCCATCTACGGCCACTAGATGGCTAAGTATTATTTAGGTTTACAAAACACGATTTAAAAAATATTTAAACATAATACTTGATCCCGCTGTTAAGCCATTTTACAAGCTTTCTCATCCACATAGAACAAGTTCTTAACGATAAAAAAAAAAACATAAAAATACCTCCTTTTATAAAAAAAAGTTAATTTCGGTAGTTTTGAGTTTGATCACAAGATGGTGCTGACGGTGCTATTTTTTGAATTAATAATTTTGCAGCAAACTATTGCCTTTAATACCTATTTATATATTAAATCGCAGCGGTATTTCTGCTATAAATGTAAGCTTCAATGAAAAATTTAATTATATTATGAAATTAGATCATTTTCAAGTTTTGAAGATTTCAAGTTCACAAATTCATAAAATTCTTAAATTCTCAAAATCCTAACGTCTCAATTCCACAACTGCTCCAAGTTTTAAATTCTCAAAGTCTCAATGTCAACAATGTCTCAATGCCTCAAAGTTTCAATACCTCAAAGTCTCAATGTCCCAAATTCTCAATGTCTCAATGTCTCAAAGTCTCAATGTCTCAATGTCTCAAAGTCTCAATGTCTCAATGTCTCAAATTCTCAATGTCAACAATTCTCAATGTCTCAAAGTCTCAAATTCTCAACGTCTCAAATTCTCAATGTCTCAATGTCTCAAATTCTCAATGTCTCAAATTCTCAATGTCAACAATTCTCAATGTCTCAAAGTCTCAAATTCTCAACGTCTCAATGTCTCAACGTCTCAAATTCTCAATGTCTCAACGTCTCAAATTCTCAATGTCTCAAAGTCTCAAAATCTCAATGTCTCAAAATCTCAATGTCTCAAAATCTCAATGTCTCAAAATCTCAATGTCTCAAAATCTCAATGTCTCAAATTCTCAATGTCTCAAAGTCTCAAAGTCTCAAAGTCTCAAATTCTCAATGTCTCAAAATCTCAATGTCTCAAATTCTCAATGTCTCAAATTCTCAATGTCTCAAATTCTCAATGTCTCAAAATCTCAATGTCTCAAAATCTCAATGTCTCAATATCTCAAATTCCCAATGTCTCAAAGTCTCAAATTTTCAAATACTCAAATTACAAAGCTCCAAATCGCAAATTCAAAAACTTCTACCTCCTCAACCATCCTAATTACTAAGCCGATTTTCATGTTTGCCTAAAACGCGCCAAAATCACGTCTTCCCCAAAGCCACCCTAAAACGTTACAAGTTAAAAGACAGAATGGCCATCCCGTATTACGACTATCACCACCTCTTCTAAACTGAAGAGCTCCTTAATTCGAGTGTATCCGAAGTGACACAAAAACGTCTAAATATTTATATGCTCCCTTTGTGGCGTCTATCGGATAATCCCGATACTCCACAGTTGTTCAATTATACGAACCTCCCTTGTATTCCATCTGCTCCTTTCAAATAGTTGTATAAGGGATGTATCCACGCTTGAACTCATTTTTTTTCTACTCTCCCTGCAGGAGTATCAATTACATTGTTATTAGAGGGTACGATCGATACTTCTATGGATAATGTGTTCTAGATTACATGATATTTTCGAGTACCAGTGTTTATCAACTCAATTTTTCAGCCCCCTATTTTCTCTCCGTCACACCAATCATATATTCGTTACTCTTATCCTTCCTCGCAATTTTAATTGACTTCATACTAAAATTATTTTAGCAAAATTTTACGGATTGCAAAATTAAAATAAATTCGTATTCTTCATTTTTATGGACAATCAAAATTCAATGGAGTTATTAGATTGAAAATTAGAGAAATAAATCTTTTATGTTTGCGATAGTTTTGAGGGAAACCTTAAAGAAGGTTTACGAAGGTTAAACCTTCGTTTAATTTGTAATGAAAGCTCGAAGAAAATAAATTAGGTTCTGTTGTTAAAGTGCACAATAAAAATATTTTTAAGAGGATTTCGTGTAATTTTGTGTTTCAAGTAAAACGAAGGTTAAGGTTGAAAGTCGCTGTAGGTCGTAACACTGGTCGGACAAGATAGCATCAAAAGTTCAACTATGCGTTTAATTCGAAACCGAACCTCAGCGACCGCAAGTTGGCAAAATTTGGGGTCGTTATGGCAGAACGTACTTTAGGGTGATATATAAAGAGGAGTTTATTAAGCAGCTACAGTTCGAGTTCCGACATGAAGCCGGCAAGAAAAACGAGGGACTTCAGCATCGAAAGTATTTTGGCGGACAAACGAGAGAAAAGCTGTGATGTTCGAACAGAATGTCACGTAACAAATTTTGAGTGCACAACGAACGCCGTGAGTGAAACAGAAAACTGTGGTGCGAATTTCCGAAGTGAAATTAGATATGAAAATTCTGAACGTAACTTTGAATGTGGAAATGAAAATAAATGTGATATGAAATGCATTGTGGATGCAGAGTCAGATTTTAGAAATAAGATTGAAGAAGGAAATGGAAAATGTAATGAAAATATTTTAGAATCCTCTGAGCAAGAATTGATTAAATCAAATGCAGATACGACGGTAATTATCAGAAACATCGAAGACGAATGTGAAATAAATTCTAAAAGCTTTGAACATGAAAAGTTTGATGCAACTGAAAATTATTGTAAAACGATAAGTTTGAGAAGGGATCAAGAGAAGAAGTTGAACGAAGAACGGAAGTCGAAAGGAGAGCAAAGTGATCAGTTTTATGACAGCAAATATTTAAATAGTGATTTTGCGGGAAATCGGTGTAAAAATTCAAGGGATTTAAACAGCAGTTGCGAAACAGAAAGTAAATATTCGTTTAAGAATGAAAATAAGAAAACGGAGTTCTCCAGAAGCAAAACAGGAACACCGGAAGTATTAAGAGATATAGAAAAGTTAGAGTGGCTTCAGTGTACGAGATACAAACCTCCAAAAATACCTAGGAAGCCGATCGGTAAAAATAAAAGAAAGCCGAGTTTTTATCCACGAATACCATTCTCAATGTTTCAGCTTGAGTTTCTTGAACAAAAGTTTCGAAATTCTGCTTATTTGACGAGGAACGATGTGATTGATATATCTGACATTTTAAAACTCCCGCCTAATAGGGTATATTTATGAATTTCATTTTGTTTTCAATAAAACAAGGTTTAAAAAATAATATCGTTTAAATTAACAATATTAAGTTTCGTCAATCTTTTCAAAAAAGGAGAAAGCTTTCCTTTAAATATTTTTTTGAAAGATTAAAAATAGTGTTTTACTAAATTTACTTGGATCATTTATTTTGTAAAAATAAAATAACATTTTAATAATTTTTAGTTGAATCACAATTCTATGTTTTTAAGTTCATTCAACAATTTTCATAAATTAAATATTTTATATGTGCAAAAATAAAAATTTCATTTCTAATACTTATAATTTTATAAATTTTATTTTGTTTCAGATAAAAATTTGGTTTCAAAACCGACGTGCCAGAGAGCGCCGTGAATTTTGTACTAACGTGTAGTAAGGAGTACAATATTTATTATATAATTTATACTTATAGTAGGAGCAACATAATTGCAACAATATTTTTTTAATATTACTTTTATATCTAAAAGTATTTATTAACATCATATTCAGACCTCTAAAGGCCACTGAAATTGTGATAAAGTTCATATAAATGTATAAAATTTTTAAGTATATTGATACCATGTAATAAAAGTAAAAATAAATTAACTTTATAAACTTTAATCAGTTAAAGTGAATATTACTATTATAAGTACATTTTTACCATAAAATTATGATAGTTAAATGTGAATTTATATCAAAGGACTGTTTTAATAAGAATTATTATTGTAACTTATAGTTATTTAATTTTTAGAATTTATAATTTATAAATATTTTATATTAGTATGTAAAAGGGATATCTTTTTATTATAATACTTTGTTTCCTCTAAAAATGTTGTATTACATATCAACGACCTAACGAGTGTTAAAACATAATATAAAAATATAATGAACATAATATTAATATTTTCATTATTCTTTTCAAATTCAAGAGATTATTAAAAAAGATTATAAGATTATCAAAGAGATTATTAAACCTAATGTTACATATGTATATACCTGTATAATTATAAATAATATATATACAATAAAATATAAGTCCTATAATTATTATTTTCACTTGTTAAATTTGAATCCCGCGCCAATTTTATGTGATCGTTCATTCTGGCTGCGCGCGCACATAGCATCCCCTCCTCGCGGTTCCTTGTCCGGTTAACTTGCATGTGTCTAAAGTCTAAAATATAACTTATAGTCTTTATACAATTACACAAATAAATAGTAGGATGAAGAAATAACGTACAATATATAAGACATATAAAAACACACATAAAGTTTTCATCTTCATAACTAAACAAGCACATGTTTCTATTGTACGTAATTCTTAAAACGGTATGAGCGGGAAACTTAACACACGCCATCCGTTGATTTCAAAATTTTTAAATTATAAATTTAGAGAATTAAAAATTATCAATTTCAAAAATTGCAAATTTTTGTGACCTTAAAATTTGTCGATCTGAAGGTGTGAAAATGTACAAATTCGGCTATCAAATAAATGTGATAACGTTGAAATTTAGAAATTTGGAAATTTCAAAATTTACGAATTTAAAACTGAAAAAATTTAACAATTTCAAAATTTTATAATTACCGAATCTTTTCCCTGTTCATATATTTCTGTCCACCACGTATATGAACAACGGTATTTAAATGGTGTAGTAGTGGGAATAACATTAATTGGTGGGGAGCTTACTGAAGTCAGTCATTTTGCGCAGATTGAATACGACCTGTCGTTGAACGGCTATATACATATATATACTGCTTCACGATTATTCTAAACGAGTCTCTAATCTTTCATTTATTCAACATTTACTTTTCTCTCCCCAGATGTCCTTACATTCGACGAATAGATATAAGGCGGTTAAAACGGTCTTACCACTCTATGTTCGAGCAGTCGCGCGGCGGTTCCCGTGTTGTATGTGCGCGCGCAGTTTGTTCAACCGCTCGAAAACTTACGAATATTTTCGTATACAAAGATGCAGCGTTCCGTCCAACAAGCGAACGGGGACGGCGTTCTTGGTTCTCCAAGAAAAAAACAATGTTTATCAAATGATTCGACTAAAGTTACTGTCGTTCTTGGAGCACAATGGGGCGACGAGGGTAAAGGCAAGGTCGTCGATATGCTTGCCATAGATGCTGACGTCGTCTGCAGGTGTCAAGTGAGTCCGCCATTTTTTCATTCTCGTCCGCCTTTTTTTTATCAATAGAAACGTCTAAACGCTTGTTTGTTCTCAATTAAAACATTGCTATTTACTACTGAAATTATTACGTTACATTTTTTTAAGTATCTTCAGTACGTCCTTTTCATTATGTTATTTTATTTTGAATTGCAAAACATTTCCACTTCTCTATTTTTCTCGCCTGTGTCACGTGATTGTTAGTGTTTCTTTTCTATTTTAATATTTTATTTTCTGCATACAGACTTTGTGTTTTAACAATTTTATGTTTCTCTTAACTAATTTATTTGTTAAACATATTCAATTTAAATAGTTAAAATATAATTGTTTTTATTCATAATTTTAGTATTTTAATGTTATTTATTATTTTATTGTATGAACTTTTATCTGTAAACATCATTACTTTGTGTTGTTATACATTAATTTATAAAAGGCTGAATATTAACATTCTTTAGTGTGAACGATACATTAATACACTTTTTAATTCATATTTCTTGTTTGTTTACTGATTTATTCATGTATTTTTATTTTAGTAGTTATTTTTGTATAACATTTCATACTTTGTAATTTATCGTTTAATAATAGTATGTTAAATACCCTTATTTTATTTTATATTATAGTGGTCGTATTTCATAAATATACAGTATGCATAGTATATGTATATTGATATATACAATGTTCTTAGAAATATATATATATGTGTATTATGTAACAACTATTGCAATTGACATTCAAATATAAAATCTTTTCGTTGCAATATATCATTGAAAGTATATATTGTAATTCGTATGTCTATGAAAATGCCTGTGCATATATGTATATAAACTAGTATTATTAAATATATCAATGAATAATTTAGGTTTTTTTGTTTAAATTTAATATATTTCTTTAACGGAATCATATTTATGTTATGACGTAATCAAAACTGCCATTGTTCCGTAATAATTGACATCATTTTTTATGGAAAACATATTTAAATTTGCACTGTGTTTTTAATTTATTAAAGAAATAAATTTCTTATTGGTACACCTGATATTAATACTTGAAACAAGGTTTGAACACATTATAAGTTGCATGTACAATGAAAAAATGTACGATGCAATAATTTTCTTCATTATGGTATATCAAATTTTTCATACTATATTATAAAGTCAGTTTTTATTTATAATAGTCACTGAGACAGCATGTAAAATATATTTATTGTTGATATAAAAAACAATCCTAATTGTTACAAATAACATTTAATCTTTCGAAACTTGAGAATATGTTTAAATGCAGTATTGTGCATTTGTTAACATCAAAATGTTACTGAAATATTGTGAATATATGTAATAATTTTTTATATGTTTAACACATTTAAAAACTACATTTAATATATATAAGAAATAATAAAATTATATGTATGCAATTTTCATTATTGTAAATCACTTTTAAAAATTTTGCATTTTATTACTCTTAAAATGTCTAGTTTGTCAGAAATATACTTAGCAGTGTATATTATAATACAGGATGATTCATCTAAATGTGTTACCTATCACTTGTAAACTCTTTGTCATATAGAAGAATGTGTCAGATAAAGTTTATATGTTACTAAGAGAAACACACAATACATAACATTTACCATTATATCATTTTACATGTTTATTAGCACATGCAATATTATAACTTTCATTTGTATGAAATATAACGATCAATATTTTATGTCAACATAAGAAGTCAATAAGTACCGCTTCTTCTTTCTGTTTTCTTCTTAGTAAAAACTAAGAATTATTTAATAATTATTAATCTAAAATTATTGGCTTTTGTATTCATATATCATAATAGCTTTTTATTCTGTATTTGACATTCTTTTAAATCACAAGGAGTACAAAAGTTCCTGGTGATTTTCATATCATGGTAGGAAAGTATAACAGAAAGAAACTAATTACTATGTTGTGTCTCTCTCTTTGTACCATGCTGCTTTGTTTTAAATATTCTTTTATGTAACAAAGAGTTTACAATTTAAAAGGTGCAGTTAGGTGAAATTACCCTGTACATGCTTTTATGATAGCTGCACGAATGCTTGGCAATAATTATATTGACCTTTTCATATGCTGCCAAAATCATGTTCCTGAGTAATTCTTCCTTGTAATTTTATAAGTACCCGAACATAATTATCCTGTTTTTAAATATCCCAGAAATTCTAAGAGACCATTGATTATGCAATAAGGAAAAGCTATTCATGGTCATGTCCTTGATAACATAACATAAAGGTCAATATAGCTGGAGATGGCACCATTACTCTGTATAAGCACTAGAAAAATCGTCAAAGGAGACATTATGATTGATCTCAATAGCATGTCTGTAATGAATGTGAGACAGAAAATTTGCCTGTAATGAGAATTGATCCAACAATCCTTCAGATATCTAAATATATACCAATTATAAACCGGTATTTTATACGCATTGCAGTCTTTCTGTTTGAACAATTTTTTTTTCTTTTGGCGCAATAATTATTACTGCTTTCGATTGACGACGCATTGTCGTTTCATATCATTCAGAAATTATTAGCGGCGTGCATAATTTTGTTACGCTAATGTTTCGAGCGTTATATAATTTTTCCAAATATTCATTTATGGAAATTTTCAAAAAGTTTCTAATTTAAAGATTTAGGAATATTTAATTTACAAATTTTTTAAATTTAGGAATTTCACTGTTTTCAAATTCCTAAATTAGCTGATTGAACATTTGATAATTTAAATATCTGGAAAATCTTGGAAAAATTGTATAGAATTGTGATTCTTTTCCATCTTCTCTTCGACTTCAATTACTTATTTACTAAAATAAATTTGTTTAATTAATTCATTGCCTTGTGCAGAACAAGAAATGTCACTTACGTACTTATTTAGTTTCAACGTTGTTGTTTAAGTTTATGCAATAGGTATCTCCATCCTTTATTTGAAATTTAATTCTTACAAACATGCATAATATTAATGTAACAAGAAGGTGTTGATGTAATTGCATAGGTTAATGTGATTTTAATTTTCTTCTCTCCTTGAGAATGTAATTACCTTGTTGTCCTGGCAACATTATCGTTCACTTCTTATCTATTATATCTGATGTGGGTTGCAGAATTTTTCCGAAGTTTGAATATCATTTATGATATTTAAGATCCTTTTACTCATGTACATTATTCTTTATTGTCAGGTTTGCATAAATCTGATCTCTGATAAGCAGAATTTTCTGATAATAAAACAGACCTTTTTCCTGATGATTTTATATTTTGAGAATATTAAATTGAAATAAATTAATTGACTCTAGCAAATTAATTTCTTAAATGAAATTAAATATTAAATTTTTAAATAAAATATATCACAACTCCTTCTCACAACTAATAATATATTATTAACAAATGTATGAATCAGTGTAAAACAAATTGTCAGTAATGGAATATTTAGACAGTAAATAATGCGTCATGCTCACAATGTTTCTTGTAATTCTCCAGAATGATTTAGTAATTTTTTATCTTTGTTTTTACAGACTGAATAAATTAACTCAATAAATTTAACTCTTAAATTTCCTGTAAACAATTGAGAAATAAAGAAACAGATCATATACAAATGTTTTATAAATGATATTATAAAGTTTTCAAGATTGTCATACAAAAAAAAAAGGATATCAGATTTTTCTTTTGTTTAAAAAGATATCCTAAGTATTTAATAAGATAAGTGTTATATAGTATGTGATGATGACACATATTATATGTATAATGAAGAAATAAATAAATATTTGAATTATTACCTACATGATTGGTTATAAAGTAAAGATTAAAATATAATTGAAAATGCTTAGTTTGCCTAAAATAAGAAGTTTAATCAACTTCAGTTTGATTTAAGATGTACTTATCCAAAGTATTAAAAGAGCTATATATTTCAGAAATAAAAGAGTACATGGATCAATGCATTTCAAAGTCTGATGTCTAAGAATCAATACTAAAAATTGTTATATTCAATGAAATTGAAATACAAATTTCAAAATTTTCATTGGTACCTATATCATTAAATATATATTTTATGAAGTATAAAATATGCAGAATGTATAAACAAAGTCTGCTAGTATTTTTAAAAAATACAACGATTAATGTAAAAGAAACAGTATCACCATCTAAATTTATTACTTTTTTCTGAATTTATTACTTTCTGTCATTCAGACAGCATACAGACATGATTAAAATTCATCATTTTTTAAGGCGATAAAATTATCGACCAATTTTTGAACTTTGTTTTTATTCCGAAAAAACCATGATACATTATCCGAAACGGATAATGGTTTGATGTCAGAAGAGTACGCTCGGTGAACTAAGACTTTCCCAAGATCAAGTAGCGTTCACCTGACTTGAGAAGCAATATAGCACCTCGTGTTATCGCGAAATAAAATTCCTTGGCTTCGTTTTGTTGCATAAATTGCAAATTTTATTCGAAGTGTCCGATTCGAGCAATTCAGTCGCTCTTCATAGCATTCCATCGTGGTCATTTGATCGAGTAGAAAAAGTTCATAACAAAGTATCACGTTTTCACTTTACTAGATGCAGAAAAGCTTATGCCCATAGATGCGCTTCGATATTGACGCAGACGACTGTTTACGATCTATCCTCGATTCGTTGAGCTTAGAATTATTATAATGGATCCGTTTTTCGTTCTCCATTTCGATTTGTCACCAAAAACTCTTTAAGAGCGCGAAACCGTGGTTCAAAGCCGTCCACCATGATGCGGTCAATTAATGCGACACCATTTGCTTTTCTTGTGTATCTTTCCCGCCATATGCAACCGATTACAAACTGTGATTTGAGTCACTACAAGTTGTACGACAAGCTGTTATTGCGTCAATGACGGATTTCGTTAAGAAATACCCGTATATCCTTGCTAATTGTGTGACCATGGAAATTTATTTATATCTAATAAATATCCTTGTACACCTGAAATGTATGAAATAACTATATTACAGAATTAAAAAATTACTCAAACTTTTACACACAGCCAATACATTATTAGCACATTATTTCGAGCAATAACTGTTCCACTATATCAAGTCTTTTGTATCTCTTGGCACTAGTTGGTAATATTGCATAAGTCGAAATCAGGTGCTACTTCCAGTTTTATAATTTCACGTTCACTATGCAACGATATACCACATTTCTATTTTCAATTCAAGAGGAAGCAATTATATTCTTATGTATAGCTTGCAGTTAAAAAATGACGATTTCTTATAACGTTTATACGATTTAAATGATTTATTTATTTATTCTTTGTTTTTACACAAAGGAATAGTATCTTTGTGACTACTGTTTTATAAGATCATTTATCTTTAGGCTGACAGTACGGCACATAATTGAAACAAAAAAGTACAAAATTTTATTTTTAAAAATGGTTATAGTATTTATTGTTATAAATTATATTTTGAATTTAAAAATTTGTTAACATAGAAATATCAAGTTTTAAAATTTTCAAGCCATAAATTTTAAAAGTGGAAAATTAAAAATTTGAGCCTTTAGAAATTTTGGAAACTTGGAAATCTGAGAAGTTAGGAATTCGTGAATTTAGAAATTTCAAATCTTGAAAAAATAAAAAAATTGATTTTATCGCTTTAGAATACAAATGTACAACAACTGAAACCGTCGTGAATAAAATATTATTTTGTTAAAAATAACAGTAAAGAACATTGGAAAAAATCCAATAATTTAACGAGAACCTTCGTTTTAAATTTTTTTATAGAAATTCGGTAATACAAATATAATGCAGAATTGTAGTTGTTTGCGATAAAGCATTAAAGATTTTTATTACAAATAATGATACTGACATCATTTTTATTCGCTACGGTAATCCAGATGTTTGAGCGAGTATTACGTAGTATTCCAAGATATTTTCAACGGTGAATTTCCGGCGAACGATGGTTTATTTCAATTGGTTCAAGTATGTATGTTATTTTACGTAGAATCAACCGAATGAAGTAGTATATCAGTTTTTGAATTTGTGATTCATTTGTCGTAATTACTATATCTACAAATTCTTTATTTTACTCATTTATAATTGTCCTCGCATTTTTAAATTTGGGAATTTAGAATTTTAAAAAGTGAGCGTACAGAGTTTTATAAATCTTGTGTCGTCACGCGCGGAATTTCTACGCGTATATCGTCATATAAGGAAATGTCACGCGTCACGTTGCCACTCGCGGAGTTATCGCGCATGGTATCGCTACCTGCTATATCGCCACGCGTTATATCGCCACGCGTTATATGGCTAAATTAGTTGGAAAAAAATTATTTCTGCACCTCATATATTGTCTTTACCTGTTATTGTAAATTTTGTGTTATGGTCAAAGAAAAATATTGTTGATGCAAAACTCGCTTAAAAAAATTTATCTGCAAGAATCTCTGATAGTAGACTGATTAAGTTAAGTTTAATTTATTTAAACAATCGTTCAGTTCTCATAACATACTTTTTTATTCAAATAAATTTTTCTTATTTCACTCTTCATACGCTAACCTATAACTACCTAATATGAATGTCATATTTCTTTCATTCATCTTAAATCGTTAAAAATTATATACGAATAAATTAGAAAGGAAGATAGTATAGGTTTACGAATTGATTCAGCGTTTTAAATGTATGGTGTCTGGTTACGCGATGTCAGTGAATTAATAGCAATTGGGAAAAAGAGTAAGATTAATGTTTCATGGAGCGTTCGAACGTATTGCATAGTCAGCATTTACGAAGTTATATAAGTGTCCTAACGTTGCAAATTTCCTTGCAATTTTAGTTGGTTGCTTCGTATTCGATGTGGCCTTCTGTTACTGATTATTTTTGATTTCTGTTTTACACTGCTGTTTCTTTTCTAATCTTTATTACTTCCGTATCTTGAGACATTAAGAACTAAATTAAAGATGGCGGCGCGTAATATGGCGCGCTTTTGTGTATTTTGGCGCCTTTTCACTGTGAACGCACATTTTTAATTTTTTACAAATTTATTTGACAGGATTAAAATTATAGCTTAATATAGGAAATCTGAGTTTGTTTATAATTTTTCTGTATTTATGTCTAGGGAATTTTTAAGCACTGATTGATGTGCATCTTTATTGACAGTTCACAAAATGATGAACACATATAATTGTTTTAAGTTAACAACATGGAAATATTCGTTTTCTATATAAGTATTTTACCGAAGTAATTTCTCTGATGTTTCAATCGCTCTATTTTAAAACGTTTGCGTTCGAAATACTATTTCTAATACAAAAGGTCTTAAGAAAGTCAAAACTTTAAATATCATTGCACTAATAGAGGAATAATTATAGATATGATGTAATTTCTTGTATGATGTATAAAATTCAATTGCGATGCCAGATCAGAGGTAAAATACCATTATTAACACTTGATAAGATATTATTGTATTTGTATAAAAGATATAGCTGAGTCCTCATATACACATCCATATGTACATACACGTATACAATTATATAAATAATATTTTTTCCACTCCACGTTTCACTTTTATTAAAAATGTCGGCAATATAGGTAGAGATTCTTCCACACAGCACTGGAAAATTTGAGAATTTATTATTTTGAAAACTTCTACACTAAAAAATTTGTGGTTTTAAAATGTTGTAAATTTATAAATTTGAATATTTCTGATTTTGACAATTTAAAAATCATTAATTTTTGAAATCTAGTGACTTAGTCAATTTAAAAGTTTTAACATTTTTTTGTTTAAAAATTTTTTACTTTAAAAACTTCTAAATTTGCATGTTTCTAAATTTCAAAATTAAGAATTTATAAATTGCAAAATTTCTAAGTTTGAGAATTTATGATTTAAAAAAATTTGAGACCTCATGATTTTGAAAATTTAAAAAATTTCTATATTCCTTCGTTAAAAAATTTAAATTTCCCGCTTTGAACATTTACAAATTTGAACATTGAAAGTTTAGGTGTGAGGTGCCCTTAATCGTGCCCCGGGGCAAGTGTCCTTTTGTCCAAAGCCACGGACAACATCGACTGTACCAATTTTCTTCGAGAATTCGACGCACACTGTCAGGATATATTTCTTTGCAGATTCTTAAAATAACTCAGCTGTTAATTAAAAAAGCACTCATGCTTGAATTGTTTGAAAACCTGCAAATGTATGCAACCGTTAAAAGCGCACGATGGTCGTCAAACGTTTTAAGCTTTTTCTGTTCATTGTCCAAACTGGTAAAAATGAAAAAAGAAAAAAAAACACCGGGTCACATGAATAAAAGAAAGCAAAAACCAAAATAGTATTTGCACAGGGAGCAAAAGAAAAATTTTAATTTTGCAGGGAGGAAGCAATGCCGGGCATACTGTAGTAGTAGACGGTGCGGAGTTCCATTTCCATCTTCTACCCAGTGGAATAATGAATCCTAGATGCACGTCGGTTATAGGTAATTATTTTTCGATCATGATGGTCTGCGATAATATGTCGTTAGTTCTCATAAGATCAAGGCACGAAGCGAAACGTCTACTGTCAATTTTGATTTCTTTTTTATTTCATACAAAAGCTGGTCAAGTTTTTGAAAGAATTACCTCTTCGCAGATTTCGATGACCTTGATATATGTTGTTAAAGCTTGTAAAGAACGTTGTTAAAAACAATTGTACTTGTATTGTAAATGAACAGTATCATTGTTTACAACGCTAGAAACACACGCGTGGCGGCCATGTTCGTTAGTTCACACACTGACCGTTAGCGTCGCATGTCTTTACATTTCAATATGTACAATGCCCAACATGCTTTTGTGTATAATTCGAAAACTATAACGGATCACTTGTAGGATAAAATTATATAGAATAATCTTGGTAACGTATTTGAAGATCACTGAATTCAGAGGAGGTAATTTTTCAATAACTTAAATTTCCGCTTTTCCAAAATGAAAATGTGTTATACGAAATACTCTATTTAAATTGTACTATGCAAGGGAAAATCATTGACGATGTTGAGAGATCTTTTATGGGTGAATATATGGATATACACAAAATTTATTTTTCCTTTTTAATCAATGTTAATGAGTGAAATTTTGTTTATGTCGGTAATATATATCGGGTGTATTTTTTAATATTAACTACCATTTTTCAAACACTTATGGCAACCTGCCAAAAAATGTCATCACTAAAAATTAGTTTTTGATCTGCTAAAGAATATTAAAAATTATTAAACAATTTCTTCAAGGGGTTACTGAATATTTTAAATGAGATATCGTTTTATAAATTATAGTTGACAAGACTGATACAACGACGTATTGTACTGTGACTTTGAGATAACCTTGAATTAAAATATATAGGTTCGATCAGTAATGCTGACATAGGAAATTATATATTATATTATGTATTAAATAGTATAATTTGAATATGTACTTTTAAAATTTAAATTTGAAAATAATTTGTTGCAAAATTTATTCAAATTCTTAAATACAGTATTTTATGTGTTTTTTTATAAAGCAAATAGATTTTCAATTAAATAAAGGATTCAACATTTGAAATATTGCAAAAAATTTCCAAAACAGGATTTGTAGTAAACACAAAGAACATAATTAGTTTTTCTCTTTAACTATTTAAAATATGATTATTTATAAAAATCATAAATAATAAAATAAATTTTTTGTCCCAATGTTATATTAAAATAACGTTATATTTTTTATATTTTAATAAGGTTAAATAGTTGTAAATTTTTTAGGAACATTTGAAATTAAAATTATTTTTCTTTAGAAGCTAATTAGAAAACAATTTACAGTTGATATCTCATCCCAGCTTATTTTATTATCATAAATTTGCACATTTTCGTTAATCTCAAACACTTGAGACATCTCTTCTTATTTATTCTTCTATAACGATTGACGTATCATGAACTTGTGACGTAAGGCTTTAATAAATTTTCAAGGATAATTTAACGTTACATTCTGACACTCGGTTAAATTGATGTTTATGTAAGCCGCTTTGTGGTGGGGGTACAAATATATGGTGCTATTCAATTTAGCAAAACATCGATGATTTTTAAATTTTCCATAAAAGTAACGTCTAGAAAAAACTAGTTGTATATGGAAATTATTTAAATTATGCTCTGCACCGCTTTTTCATTTTTATCGCAAGTGAACAATTTTCAACTTTTCAAATTCTCAAGTTTTCAAATTTTTGTGTTCTCAAATTTTCAAAATTTTAAATTCTCAAGTTTTCAAATTTTCAAATTCTCAAAATCTCAAATTTTCAAAACCCAAATTTCCAAAGCCCATATTTCCAATTTTCAAACTTCTGAATTTCCAAAATTCTAAAAACCCAAAGTCCTAAAGTTTCATAACCAAAAAATCTCAAAGTCTTAGAATCCAGAATTAAAAAATTCAAAAGTTACAAAATCATTTTTTAAAATATATAATCACCGTCCAAAGTGATATTTTAAAAAATTTAATTTCACTTCGGATTTTTAAAATTTATATTTAAATATATAACTTGATTGACATAAAATTAACCCACGACCAATGACGTAATAGGTTAGAATTCGACAAGTTTAAACGTGCATAGTTTTCTACTTTATTGCCAATGTTGAACCAATTGCAAGTTTATTACGTATCGCTTGACGATTTCTCTGACATTCACCTACTTCAATAAGCATATCCACTGAATAATTCAAATTATCCTTGATTCGATTCCTGTCGACGATGTCGATTAATCTAATCTCTATGAATATAAAAATAAAAGGCGTAACCATTACTTGTTCACCTTTAAATTGCTCATGATTTATGGAAATGGTCTTGAGACGAACGTCAATATATAACAGAGTAATTGTATTTATATAGAGTCTCATTTAAGTCGAACAAGTTGTTCTTAAGAGAGAAAAATAATTTATCGTGATTTATATAGTTTTAGGATACGTAATCAGTGATTTATTTTTTGTATTTTTATTAGTAGTAAAAATATTTTAAATATTCACTTTAAACGAGACACCCTGTGTATACAATTTTTATGTGCAAATATATTTGAATTTTATATACTCATGCATAAAGTATAATTAAAAAATATTACTTGTTATTCACAATCAGAGTTCAGGTACAACATATATTGCAAGTCAATTAAGCGAACAATGCATCAGAATTATTAACACAGTATCAGAATTATTAACATAGTATCAGAATTTGTATTTTACATATCTATTTTAAAAGAGTCATAAAATAGGACGTATGCATAATATGTGCTTCATTTTACGAGAGGGACAATACTTTCGCCTTCGTGATCATACACAGAGTGAAACACAGCAAAAACATGATAAAAGAAATACGCCTGTATACAGTTGCTGACAAAAGTTTTCAAATGGCATCAACTTTTGTATTTGATGTAATTTCAGATTTTATTTGAAGTTGCCAAAAAATTTGATTATGTATATCTGTGAATTTAATCTATAAAAATTCATTGAAAGCATCTTTATGAGGAATATGTTTATTTTCGGGAAATATAAAAATAATATCGTTCGAAAACTTGTATTCGTAGCTGTATTTTCGGCGCCATTATCTTTAGTAGTGCGCATGCGCGTTACCGTAGATTATAGATTGTGTAGAAAACGTGCGTAAAAGAATTCATTATATAGAAAGTTTCTTATTGAATGAAATATAAAACTTAGTTTACCGAAAATGTTCTTAAAGTTTTCGGAAATGTTTTTAATACTCACTTCTCAGAAAATCGTCTCATCGATTACTTTATACAATGCGCAGCAAAATTGTCTATTAACAGTATTAAAAACATCAATGAAAGATTTGTAGTCATTTTCAACGAACGCCAAGTTTTACTCATGTCACACAAGTATTACTTTGCGACACCTTTATATCATCCTGTCAGTCTTTCAATGTTTCAAAAATGTGTCCATAAACTATTTATTAAAAATATGGGTAAATGGATTTATTCATTTATGTCAAATTTATTTTTATTTAACATTAATATTGATATACCACAAATATTATTTTGAGATATTTTTATGTTGACATTTAATATGGTTAATAGAAAGAAATAGTAACCATTAAAAAATGAAAATTTGTTTATGACAATCCATATCTTTAGTCAGGATTTGAAAGTGAATTATACATATTTCTAACCCTCTTCAGAGTTTCAAAGAGTAAGAATATATTTTGTGTAAATATTTCAACTTTTAAATTGATGTGGACAACGGTTCATTGTACGCCTTTGAAACGGAGATAACTGATGGATGACGACACCCGTGATTCTAGCATCTTTAAACGATACAATAACGTGTTCATAAAATACACTTAAAGTATATTCGTCGTTACTATGCAACTTAGGTATTTTTTATGTAACATTTTTCAAATGTAAATTTGAAATTTGCAAATTATCAAATTTCTAAATTCTCAAATTTTAAATTTGAATTTTTCTATTTCTAAAATTGGAAGCTTTTCTAGTTTTTTCTAACCGCCATTTTAAATTTAAGCAGGAAACTGCAAGAGTCATGCAATCACCATTTTATCACTCATATCTCGAATGTGAAGTCTCAGATTGCGAAATGATAAAAAACTCCTTGATGTTTATCTATAAATAAAGTTTATAATAAAAAAAAGTGATTTCCATGAATTATTGTTGTAAAATAAATTTGTACAAAAATTATTATTTCACAATGTCGTAGAAATATTAATAAATTACAACTAGCTGCATAAAAATACTAGCAAGATTAAGATTAATCTTAATTAACCTAATTAATTGTCCTATAAGATAGAATGCTTGTCTAAGACTTCAAGCATAGAGGACCTTAGATTACATTTCTGTAAATAATAAAACTTTTATCATTATTTCTATATTTTTTTACTTAACTTTGGTTCACATTTTATTCTTATCACATTTCTACTATCTGCAAATCACACAGAGTCTTGTATAAACAGTTCTTGTACTTCGTAGAATTTTCTTATTACATAAAGTATCTTGGAATCTTGTTGAGAAACGTTGGAGACCGACTTGTACACTTACAAATTATATTTCGAACGTGACAAACAATGAAACTCGCATAAATAAAATAATACTGTAACTCCGAGGGATTGAAAAGAACTCCTTACTACGGAAAATTTTAGCCTTGTATAATAGATCTCTTAGATAAAAAGAGTTTATCTGTAACCATTAGTCTTTGATGACTAATTGCAGTAATGATTCGATATAAGTGAAAATTTCCTTTACGATATAAGTGAAACTTATCTACACGATATAAGCGGGGAAAAAATGATCTTCATCACTGATTTGAACTATATTTACTGGTTCAATTGACGATAAGTTTCAACCGCAGAGAAGAATAGCGAGTGAAAAAGGGACGTTATGATTGTGGCAATAGGCAAAGAGCAAATTTGTATTGTTTACATACCAATGCATGGTTAACTTCATTTTTAGTTCTTTTCTTATATCGAATCATTACTGTAGTCCAGAATAAGACATTAGTGTCCCAGCAAACATCCTCTACAATTTTTGAACTTAGGAATATCTGTACTGAATCACTAGATTGCTCATTCAACATTACATGAGATTTTAATACAATATGTACAAAGAGTACAAAGATCAGAATATATATACAATACAAAAATATATACCTACATATAATATTTGTACACTGGGGTGCAAATTTGGCTTCCTCTAGGGAAATTTTGAAATTAAATTTACAAATTTGAAAAATATAGTAACTTAGAGATTTAAGAATTTGAACAATTTTTCCCTGCATTTATTCTTAAACAAAGGAAGCGTCTGTTGCACCCAAATGTACACAGGATACTGTATCATTCTAACATAACAATCACGTAGATGCAAATATGCACTAACATTAAAAACCAGGTGGAATGTCGAACGTTCTAACTTTTTTTATAAGCTTCATAACTTCACACCTGAATTCTATTTTTTGTTCGATATTGAACGATTGGATCAAAGGTAATATAGAGTTAAAAAATGATTTATCATCGTCGATTTCCTCTACGCTACACGAAACATTTGACATTTGTGAATTATTCATCATACACGGTTTTGTATCCTTATTGCGTTTCCCTGATGATTCTTCATCCATACTTGAAACATAAGGAATAGTCGACTGATCGTCATCTACAGTCGCAGTGTCTTCAGCTTCTTCGCTATCTAAATACGATACAGTAAGAGTTGCAGATTTCTCCACTTCTTGTAAAAAGGCTAGTCGCCGGGCGTAGATGTATTGTCTGTTATGGTTACTGTACCTTCGCTTTTTACGAACAGTTCTTAAATACTGGTCGCGTATGTTTCGCCATCTGTTCATATGTTTTCTAACTAAAACAAACAAATTAATATTTATTATAATCTTTCAGTTTTATAATATCGCGATTTTTTGTTCATACAGTATGTATATGTACGTTTGAAATTCTAAAATTTTCCCGCCAAAACATAACCTTACGAAGGTTATGTTTTAATTCGTATATCCTGTTAATGTAAACTAAGCCTTAGTTCTATCAAAACAACGGCTCACGCGAGTATAGTAAACAGATTTTTTCCATTAGCTTACTTTGTTGTCACTGTAGATTTCAAACAGAGTTCACTTTCGCGCGCTCACACCTTGTTCGGTATCTTTTTTTTAAACTATTAATCTTCATTCAAAACCATAAGACCATTACCACCTTAATGCATTATCATTTATTAATAAAACATATATAAAGTTTTTTTTTCTAAATATAATATTATAATAATTAATTTTTAATCTTGGTAAGTTCAAGCAACAAATTAAATTTTAATTTGCAATTAGGAAACTGTTGAATTAACAAGTATATTTTAAATCGTAATTAAAAAATATTTAATTCCGAAATTATGTTTCACTTGTGTATTGTAAAATTTAATCACAGTATATAATAACGTAAAGCTTCTTGTAATGCCGCCAATGGTGCCACCGGTAATGCTGTCAGTGGTCTTCAATTTCAATAAATAATTCAGTAATCTTTAAAACAATTCATATAAGTAGTATAATATACACAGATAATATTTATGTGCAATGATTTAATAGATAACAATTTTCAGAAATAAATTTTGTTATAACGAAATAATTACTAAATAATTACTGAAATAATTACTGACAAATATTATCGGTATTAAATATTTATCAAGTAGTATTGAGCACCACTGACATCATCCGCACATGCGTTGAACAACGTAAATTCTATAATTCTGTTGATTGTAATTGAGCTTGACAACAATTTTTTATATACATTTCCAACAATCCTATATTTCAGAATTTCAATGTCAAGAAGACATTTGCAAAACTTTAGCTTTGCCATAAAATAAGATGCATACAAATTTAAGAATATTTTGACGGAACAATTTCAAAATATTCAAAATTGAAGTACAAACTAATTATTTTTAAATGATATTCGCTATCTTCGAAAAGAAAATTTTATCCAATGAACAATAATTAATTATATATTACCTAGTTCTTGTTTCTCTTCTTCTGTTTTTTGCCGGAAATTCGAACAAAATTTTTCGCAAATTTTCTCCCATGCCGCACTTTTTTTCTTTTTATCTCTATTCTCTTCTGAATTTATATCCCATATTTCAGGATATTTTTTTACTTCGTCGATAAATAATTCAGCGTCAAGTTCTTCGAGAATCACTCTCGTAGAATTACTTTTAGCGTTCGGACTTGACATGGTTAGCAACGTCTCTGCTGAACGTCCGTTATAGACCAGCTACAGCGTCACACGCCCGTCTGCGGGCATCCGCCGGATACATACGACTGTAGTCGATACCTCTCGAAGCAATTCCGTACCTCGTCCGCTAGATGCCCGCAAGCAAGCAAGCGTGTTCGACTCGCTTTTATTCGAAAATCAGGAACGCACTTGCACTTTCTCAGGCCCCATACACATTATTATGAGACCTCAAAATATCATAATCGATCAAGTACATAACTTCAGTTTTAATGCATAATAACAATAGGTCACCGATTTTATTTTAGTTTAAAATATTTTTAAAACAATTTTGTATTCATTTCAACATGCATATTTAAAATTAAACATATAAACAAATACAAATTAATACTAAATATATCATGTACCACTATCTTTTTCCATTACCTTTGTTTTGAAATAATTGAACGGTATACTATAGTGCTTAATGCTATTGTTATCATAATTCTTTCAGGAAATGGGGTAGTAATACATCTGCCAGGTCTCTTTGAAGAGTTGGAAAGTAATGAAGCCAAAGGTTTGAAAAACTGGCAAGAACGATTAGTGATTTCCGATCGCGCACATATAGTATTTGATTTCCATCAACAAGTTGATGGCCTTCAGGAATTAGAAAAGGGTACACAATCTCTTGGTACCACGAAGAAGGGAATTGGACCAACATACTCAAGCAAAGCTGCCAGAAATGGACTCAGGATATGTGATCTCCTTGGAGATTTTGATAAGTTCTCACAGAAATTTGATATGTTGGTGACATCATATCAAAAAATGTTCCCAGCATTGCATGTTGACGTGAAAGCAGAGCTACAACGATATAAAGAGTACATATTTTCATATTTATTACTTTTGATTAGACATAAGATACAGCTTTTATTATAAAATATTTTGCAATTAGTTTAAAACCTATTATTTTATAACCTGTTATTTTAGTCTTATTATTACTTAAATAACTTGTAACGATAAATATTTTATAGTAGTACTATTATGTTTAATGTCCAAACAAACTAATAAATGTTTAGTGAAAATTAAACATAATATTGTTTACTATCATAATATTGTTTAATGAAAATAATATCTTATTTTATTTTTAGATATGCAGAAAGAATAAGACCAATGGTAAAAGAAACAGTTCAGTATTTAAATCATTCATTACGTGAAGGAAAAAAAGTATTAGTTGAAGGCGCAAATGCTGCAATGTTGGACATAGACTTTGGAACTTATCCCTATGTTACCAGTTCTAACTGCAGTATAGGTGGTGTTTGTACTGGTCTTGGACTTCCACCATCCTATATTGGAGAAGTTGTTGGAGTTGTTAAAGCATACACTACAAGAGTTGGTGATGGTCCATTTCCTACCGAACTGTTAGATGCTACTGGTGAATTTTTACAGAAGAAAGGACATGAAGTGGGAGTTACTACAAATAGGAAAAGGCGTTGTGGTTGGCTAGATTTAACTCTCCTTAAATTTACCTCTATGGTTAATGGGTAAGAAATGTTTTTTAAACAATGCTTAATATAACAAAGAGCGAATTATACATTTCTAATAAAAATAATATTTGTATTTCATTTAAATAATTACAGATATACAGCAATATGTCTGACAAAGTTAGATATTCTTGATACACTACCAAAAATTCGAATTGGTGTAGGATATCGGTTGAATGGTAAAGAGATAGACTATTTTCCCAGTAGTACTTCTGACTTAGCAAAAGTGGAAGTAATTTATGAAACTATGGATGGTTGGCAATCGAAGACTGAGGGTGTACGTTCGTTGGAAAAATTACCTCCCAATGCCAGAAAATACATAAAATTAATAGAAGATTATCTCAATGTACCAGGTAATATTTTTGTTAATTTCATTATCCGTTGTTACATAATGTTATAAGTTTAGAAAGTACAGACTTTCTAATACATTCCTTTAATTTTTTAAGATCGTATTAAAAAGTCAATATGATAGTTGCTGCAAATATTAACTCATTTTAACATTAAATTAAGATAAATTAAAGCACATAAACATTTATTAATGTTTCAGTTAAATGGATTGGAGTGGGAGCAGGTCGTGAAAGTGTGATCGCACTCTGACGTTATATTTATTGTTTACAACAATGGAAATATGTTTATTTGTTCACTCAGTTTGCTATTCTTTTGGTAATAATTGTAGTTTGCCGAAAGAGTTGATGAAACAAACGCACAGAGAGTACACGACAAAAAAAATAATAGCATTAAGCTTTTAAATTTTAGTAGTATATAACGATTTAAGAAGAGAATGAAAGTCTCGTTTCTTCGAGTTCCTCCTTCTTATTGGATAATTCATATTAATTGTCTTATCCATTGTTCGAATGTACAATAAGATACGTTAATTAAAATGTATTTATTTGAAAGTTGTTTATTTACTATCCGATCCTTCAATAAAATGTATTCTGCCAAATGAATATCAAATGAATTGTAAATTGTACATAATTTTTTAACATATTATAGTGCCATTTAAAATATAAAATAGTGAAGTCCTATTTCTTCTGTAACATTCAATGCCGAATAAATACTGTACTTAACAATATATCATATGTTAAAAATATTTCTTTTTTGAAATTATTGAAAACATGTGTTCTATATTGTATTGATAATATACGAATAAAAATTTATAATAACAGTTTTCAATGGTTTTATTATACTATTAAATTAATAGAATGTTCAGAATTTTATCTGGATATTTGATGAAGAATCAAGTACCTGCCAGTTTTCTTGTTAATGTATACCATGTATCATGTTATTTTGCTAATCTTGATAAAGCCAGATGTATTATTAATTTATAATATACACATTACAAATTTCCATATAATGTAATGTTCGCTTGTATATCGTGACTTATGTGTTGGTACAATAATAGTAAAAGTTACTTAGCAATTAGCATATTTACATATGTGTAAAGTATAAATATTAAGTATTATATAAGCTGTATTATATGTGTGTACTATTACATTGTTTAATGAACATGCAAGTCATAAATATTGTACAATATAATATTAAATGTATTTTCTGTGTTACATGGAAATTTATTATATGTAAAACTGTCCCTCCCGATAAGAAAATTGTCCCATCTAGATAAGCATTGTTTGAAGAAAATTATGGTATATGTAAGTACATTGTGGTGGGATAAACTTCCCCTACATTCGTTCATATCTAAAGGAAACCTAAATTGCCCCTGAATGTACGCCTTCTGAGCGCGTGCGTGTATATGACAAATACCTACGACAAATTCGGTTGACAACTGAATTTGTCACGTAATTTGATTTGTTATGATGTACAAATCGTAGTTTTTACGTTTTTATTTGTTAATTAATGATTTTAATGTATTTTAGTTACAAGTTTTTTTTGTTTGGATTATCTTTGAACAAGTGAGTGACAAATTTTATAACTACGAGGCAGTAATGGTAAGAGAAGTACAGTGCATTATAACCAATCATTTATTTAGAAACTGTTATGAATTTCCATTGTTCTTAAACAAATTATAGCACAATTATTATGATACTGAATATGTTCTAAACTTTCTATATGCAGCAAGTTAACGTGTGTAGTTTGCATGTACGCATATGTGGATAAATCAGTTAGATAATTGTAACCTAAAGTAAATGATTGTTTAATGATTATAATTTTTTATACAAACGGTATTATTATTTCTTCAAACTAAATGCGAAAGACATAATTATGGTTATATGAGATTGTTTGGTGACACACATTTGTTTATGTTCAAGTACAAGAAATACATATACACAGTGAGTATCTATTTTTATTTTCACTTATTTTTAGTATTTAGTTTTATTATGCTGTTTTTTACCCTTTTCAATTATATTTTCTACACAGCACATTATAAAACAAAGTAAAATTGATAGGCCACAAGTTATTTTCTTGTTTAAAGTTTTTATTATGTAAGAATATAATAAATAATAGTTACTGTTAAATGTTTTATATTATTGTGTTAATTTTTTAACATATTGTTAGTTTCAGCTCAAATATTGATCCTGCTATTTTTTAAAAGAATAAACCTTTTAATAATTACATAACAAGTATTTTGCTATTTTGAAATTAATAAATCAGTATCATTTTCTCTGTTGTTTCAACTCTTTATGATTATAGTATTTAGTTTTTTAATTATTTCTAATATTATAGTTGCAGAATTTACAAAACCTGTTTAATGAATACATATTAATTACATATTAAATTATTTAGTATGTTTACTTTTCCTGTTTTTGTTCAAAAATTGATTTAAATATTTGTTTTATGCTATTGATATTTCAGAGTGAAAGATGCCAGGAGAACCATCTGCAACTGCTGGAAATAAAAGTTCTGGAAAAATCAAACGTATTTCAATTCCAAGAGTACAAAGCAGTACAGATACAGAGTTACAGTCACAAAGCGGATCTACTCCATTGCAGCCAAATGCACAGCATTATGCAGCTTTTCGAACAGATCTTGATGATAGTGTATTACCACCAGCTTTACGATGTCGATTGTTTGACTTGTTTCAGCAGATAGAAAAAGAGTTTGAAGCTCTGTATGCAGAAAATTTAGGATGTATGAATTGAACACTATTTGTTTTATATTAGTAGTATTTGATTAATTTTAATATATAAGACATTTCATCATAAATGTTATAGTATATTGGAAAATAGATAAGAAAATAGAAAATTGTTATATTTCAATATAATAATTGAAAACTAATATTTGTAATTTTAGTACAAGAAAAAATAGATGCCCTTAATGAGAGGCTTGACAGAGAATGTTATGGTTCTGGAGAACGAAGTTTACCTATTGGAGATGTTGCAGACTTTCCAGATACGAAAAGTTTCTCCAAACAAAAATGTAATAATGCTTGTAATTATGATACATCTGTTAGTTTTTTAAATAATTATTAATGCTATAAATTTGATAAAAATATTGTTAGAAACTTAATCTTACACTTTGCTTTATAATATATTGTAATTCTTTTGCTGAAATTTTATTTTTCAGCTATGGCGGGGAATTCAGCACCAAAGACAAAAACAACTTCTAATAAGTTGAAAGCTCAAACCAGTAAAATAGTTTCTAGCTTTAAAACGCCAACAATGACCTGTAGTATGCAGAGAGAATATTCTGGGCACCGAGATGGTGTTTGGGAAGTTTCTGTTGGAAGATCAGGTCAAATCATTGCTACAGCCTCTGCTGATCACAGTGCTAGAGTCTGGGCTGTGGATAGTGGACGTTGTCTTTTACAATATATTGGTATATATTAATGTTGCTTATTAATTATTTTAATAGATTTTTAATCAATTGTTGATATTCTGTTACCGAAATATTTAATCTAATACTTGAATTAATTAAAAATAATTTGAAAAATTGCTCGATTTGTAGGTCATTCTGGTTCTGTTAATTCTGTGCGTTTTCATCCAACAAAGGAATTAGCACTCACATCCAGTGGAGATAATTCCGCTCATGTATGGCAAGCTGCCGTTGATTGGGATTTTCCTAAGCGGCAGAATTCATCTGAAGAGCTTTCAGGATTGAATACTGACAGAAACCCTAGTAATGTAATTACTGTAAATGAGGAACAAGATGAACCTCCCACTCTAAGGTAGTTCATACCTGAGTTGTTATTTATTTTTTTATTTGATATGTTTGATTAATGTGATCAAAAATTTGATGAAACCTTACAGAACTCCAGTACGAGAATTGTTAGGTCACACAGGTGTTGTAATGGCCGCAGATTGGTTACCTGATGCAGAACAAATTGTGACTGCTTCTTGGGATAGAACCGCAAATTTGTATGATGTAGAAACTGGAGAGATTATTCATACATTATGCGGGCATGATCAAGAACTTTCTCATGTTTCGACTCATCATACTCAAAGACTTTGTGTTACTTCAAGCAAAGATAGCACTTTCCGCTTGTGGGATTTCAGAGAACCTGTTCACTCGGTTTCTGTTTTCCAAGCACACACTGAGTAAGTTAACTCTCTATTATATTTGCACTATGTATAAATACATTTTTATAAAATATTCTTCTAATTTTAAACATTAAAGCATACCATTTTATTTTGCACATTATATACTTTTTGGTTAATCTTAGAGTCTACAGTATTGTACAATAAAATTTTGTTTTATATAGGACGGTAACTTCAGCTGTTTTCACGCGTGAAGATAAAATCGTTTCAGGATCAGATGATCGAAGTGTAAAGATATGGGAATTGCGAAATATACGAAGTCCTTTAGCTACAATTAGAGGTGACAGCGCTGCTAATAGATTATCAGTATCAAGTACTGGCATTGTTGCAATTCCACATGATAATAGACAAATTAGATTGTTCGACCTTAGCGGTCAGCGATTAGCTAGATTGCCTAGAACAAGTAGACAGGTGAGTTAAAATTTAACAAGGAATATCAGTAATTATGATTTATTTAATTTCATAATGATTACTTTATTTTATAACAATGTTCACATATATACATTCAATATAATGGAGAAAATCACATATGTATATACAGACTAATACATGTACAACTATTATTTTATATAATCACAGTATAAATGTAATTCAGTAATTATAATTATGAATTACTAAATATAAAAATTAATTTAATTTCAGGGTCACAGAAGAATGGTCTCTTCAGTAGCTTGGGCAGAAGATAGTGGGGTCTGTAACTTGTTTTCTTCAGGTTTTGATAGATTAGTCCTTGGATGGAGTATTGTACCTCTTAAAGAATGTTAAATATATATTACAAATATAATGTATTTATTTAGTTTAACTTAATGTTATTTCACTATAAATAAGATTATAAAACCAAACTGAATTGAAAATAAATAATTAAACTAATTTTAAGGCTTCAAGTGTTGCAGTGAAAAAGATAGATGAGTAGTTGTAAATTACTATTCCCAGTTCCAAAATAATCAACGATTCCATTTTCCCACTATTGGTACACACTGAAATTGATTAAAATCGAGGTAAATGACTTTTGGCAATTATATTTGCCTTATTTGTTTATATTTTTGTATTATAAAAAAATGCTATTATTATATTTCTGTCAATCTCTCTATTTATTTATTATGATGCGAACTAATTTCTTACCTGAGTAAGCAGTGAGCATACAGAGAAGAGTATATCCCAAGATGAGGAAATAATGAGGCGCTAGAAAAATGTGTCCCCACGTGATTTCTAATAATCCTAATAATTTTCCAGATCCACCTATCACTAAGGCTTTTGTTAAATGGATTACACTGCACTCATTTGAGTTTTTTTTATAAAAATACCACTTAATTTTGGTCAGAAGAATCACAACAAGAATGAAAGAAGCGAAAGAGAAAAAAGTCTGCAGTAGAATTAAATAAAGATTACAATTTTCTTCAAAACTAGATGGATATGTTCTCGATATTTCGACAGATTTTTTGTTATTTTTACACAAGGAAAGGCTTCGAAAAGACTCAATGAGCCAAAGAATTATCAGGAGTTTCCAACAAGATTTAAGATCACAGTTGTACAGCAGATGTCTGTATGCTTTTTTTTCGAGCAGTATTAAATCGACTAAGATTATCACAGGGTCGTATTCGATGTACTTGTCGGCCGTATGGCCACATGCATCCTGAAACGAATAAAGTTTAAAAATCGTAAAACTATACAACGAATAAATTCGTTTATTACTTATACGCAAATCTGTCGGTTAAAATGATCAATTTCAAATGTATATAATTTTTATTTTAAAAACTGATTCTAATATTACAAATATAAAATTTCAGCTTTATAAAATAGAGAACATTAACAACAGTTAAATGTTAAGAAAAAAGGAAAGCATTTTATGCTCCATTTTTTTAAACCTTGAAGATTTACTCTCTTGGAAACTATTCAAGCTTGAAGGCTAAAATTTTATAGAGCACAAGTTCTTGGTATTGTGATTTAGTTCAAGAAAAACTAATTCATTATTCAAGTTTTCTTCTTTTTTTAAGATAAAGAAGCACTTTTTTACCATTATTTATGCAGGAAATGAAAAGTGATAAGTTTGACTTTTTGAAATGTAAATTAAAATGATAACTGTTTCAAATTATCTGAAGGAATATTTTTAACCTTTGTACATATATGTAAATTATCTTTTAACTCTTATATGTACATAAATTTTTATATAATAATAGTACATACACATTTTAAGAGTTTTAAAACATTTGGACAATATCTTCTGTAAAGTTCTTCCACTTCAGCTCCACAAGTTACACAGTGATACATCACACAATTTCTTCTTCCCTTCAATATTTTATATTAAATGTTTACATACAATCTGCAATTAAATACATTATAACATCAAATAAAATTTTATTTACATATTTTATGTTAATATTTAAGACAGAATAAATTGTTGTTATCATGTCATTTTGATAAACAAATATTAATTATTTATTAGTTTATTAAGAATATAAAAAATTGTAGTATATCCAAAAAACATTGTTTCATTGTAAAATTTAAAATAAAAATTAGAAAATTAATAACATTCCATAAGTAAAACAATTATTATTAACTTATTAGTGAATTTTATTATCTTCTTTTATACAATAAAAATAATTTTTTTCAAATTGATATTCAATAAAACCTAAGTAGTATATTCTGCTACTCGATTTTGTAAAACACTATAACTGATATCAATATCGATGACAAAAATAAAAATTGAAATCGTTATGTTCTTTGCATTCAATTGCTGATAACTGGAGATAACTATAATGACTACGTAATATCATTCTATCTTTCTAGTACTCTCATTTTGTTTTTCAGTTAAAGATAATTTTGAATTTTCAAAAGATATCCGTATCTTCCATGACTTTACAAGAATATTTATGCAATTTTTTAGCGGTGGTTATATTCCTATATATAATATATAATTATATTTATTATCATAAATAATAGAATCGTCTTGTAACTACGTAACGATTATACATCAATTGAAGAAACAGAGTGTATATAAAAGGTATTAATACGATCTTCTATTTCAAGGTCATTGCAACAAGCATGGAATTTTTTTATCTCTAATAACTTCTCAATTTCAAACACTTCCTGTAACAAAAATAAAATCTCGAAATTACGAATGAACGAACTTTCCGAATAGAAAGCTAGAAATTGTCCCAGATATCGAATACATCGAGATAAAGGACGGGTGAATGTTTCAGGTGAAATGCATCGCGGAGGAAACAGCGTTCGAGTCTCAGTTCTCTGCCCACATTCCTCCAGGATACAATGGACAAGAACAACGCTATTTTACTTCCCAATGGACAATTAATGCCAATGCTTGGCTTTGGCACGTGGCAGGTACAATTATTGAACTTAAAATTTATTTTATAAATTCTTTTATAAATCTGTAAAAATTATTACTTTTAACTTAATATGATTAATATCAAACAGGATTCTTAATGTCGTTAAGATTCCTATATACGAATCGATAACGTACGTAATATATAAAAAAAATATACAATTTTAATATTTTTAGTGTTTAGATTATTTTTCCTAAAGTATTATTATTATTTTATCAATTTTAATAACGGCCGCTTTTATGTGACGTGATATCTTTACCGCGAAATATTTTATACTTATAAATAACTGTGAATGTGTCAAGTAATCATAGAAAAATAGTTTTAAAAATCTATTTTATGCTTTTATAATATACTGTTTGATTGTTAGTAAATAAATTGGTAAGTGAATAAGATCGATTATATACACAAAAATTCGATATACTTTTGTGTTCATTATATTCAAAAAATGATACATATGTCGGTAAATGACAATACTACGCATTCAAGATGAAAAATAATGTAATTTGTAACTACAAGTTGTTTTACTAATTTTGATTCAGATCATTATCTACAGAGTTATTTATAGATCAAAAGTTAGCCGATTAAATAGTACGCGGTTGCACTTCACAGGTGCGTAGTATACCATGAGGGTCCCCGCGATTAAAATTTTATTTTAATTTTTCTAAATAGGAAAATTTTTAATTGTATTTATATATGAGTTCTAAAGTAAAGTTTAATCGTAAATCCAATTACGATTGCTAACTTATATCCTGCACATAACATTATATAATGTTAATGTTAATGTAAATGCTTAAGTATGACTAAGGATAATTATACAAAAAACTACAGAGTCTACTAACGTAAAAAATGATTACATAAACAAGTTTTAATTTATATCAAATATCTTAAATATTACAAATACAACCATTATACTATTATTAATAATTAATTATATTTATATTGGGTGAACTAAAAATGTAAAATATATTTAATTCTACTATTTAACAAAAATTAAAAAGAAACTAGTTCTGTACATGTAACATTTGTATAAAAATAAAAGTTTATACTCAATATATCTCAGATTTAAATGAATCAGACTTTACTAGTATGTGTAAGATGTGTTTAAAAAATATATTTTGTAATAATGAAGTATTGTAGAAACCTGGTTCTTTGAAAATCAAGAATAGCCACATAGATCACCTGCAGTAGTTAATAGTTAGTACTCCTTCCAATGAAGTCTTAATGCTTTCACTGTTCTTCGTCGATAAAATAATGAGAAATCTCAAGGAGAGCCAAGATATGTACTTTCCATGATTAATACATCTTTCGTAATAATATTAATCTAGCCATTCTCTTAACTAATGTATTAAGCTACCATTTCATTGAAACCATGTACATCGACAACAAAAGAATAGAATGTACTGATAAAGTGTTATTTAAAAACAATATTTTTTATTTTTTGAAACATGTAGTTAATCTTTGTAGTAAAAAGTAAAATCCCAATAACATAATGTTACAAATTCAAACAGTAAACATGTCTAGAAGAATTAAATTCTTTAGTAGTTTATTATAAAGTTGCATTGTAAAGTATTAAACACAAACTTTTGTCCGTTGGTTTATTATTAAATTTGATCAAAGTTCAACTAAATTAAGTTTAAAATTACAATTGAATGCAAATAATATGGAATGTAATTTTTTTTTATTATTTGTTATAACTTTGTTTAATGTATACAAACCCTTATGATATATGAATACATATCAATTCCTAACCTTACTCCTATTACTTATTACTAATTCTTGTTTACTGTTTAAACTCGTTATAGTTTCTATATTTTTATCTCAAACTCCAAGAACTTTCAATGTATAATATGTAACTTTATATTTAGAAAAAATAGTACCTTATTATAGGTTATACTTTCTCGTCAGTTTAAACTTGTTAACTTTCTATTACAATTTACACATTCTTTTTTGCACTAATTAAAACAGAACATAATAAGACTCAGTAAAAAATTCATTAACTACATATATGATGAACTAAATAAAAGTAATTATCATCTTGTTAAAAGTAAAGAGTTTGCTGTTGAGGTTTTACTCAATTATCTTAATCATCTGACATAGAAGACGTTGCAGCTACAAATAAAATAGATATTATTTTTTTTATATATTATAAAACATTTTTGTTGTTAAGCTGACTATTTCCATTATCTTTTTTAACTGCAAGATATATGTGAAAAATACTACTACTACTCAGCTTATAATAGGATTAGTCAAGTTAGCAATTATCAAAATAAAAGTACCATAATGGAAACAAATTTTGTAATTTTATATTTTTACAAATATTTAGAATGCAAACATTCTAATCACTTTTACTAATAATTACTGTTATTTATACTTATCAACCACCGGTTATTAAAGACTGTAATATTTTTTAACAAATTAAATTTCAAAATTGTAATTAAGGAGGGAAAAAATCTTAATAAAATTGTTTTGTTTAAGGCAAGTGAAGAGGAATTGATGAATGCTTTGGATGTTGCTTTAGAAGCTGGATATAGACATATTGATACAGCGCCAGTATACTACAATGAAAAAGCAATCGGTAAAGTCCTCAAAAAATGGTTTGATTCTGGAAAACTTAAACGGTCAGAAATATTCATTGTTACAAAGGTAATATTCTATACTTGGAATTAAATACAAATTTTACTGCATTGTTTATATGAAGTACTTGCAATTATTACAAGCTGTATTAAAATATTAATTTGTAATTTTGTTTAATTATATTTACAGCTTCCTCCAACTGGAAACAGACCAGAACACGTGGAAAAACATATTAAAAAGTCCTTGCAGGATTTGCAACTAGATTATTTGGATCTTTATTTGATTCATACACCATTTGCTTTTGAGGAAGTTGGAGATGATTTACACCCTGTCGATAAAGATGGAAATATACGAATAGACCCAACTACCGATAGCGTAAAGGTTTGGGCCGAAATGGAAAAACAAGTGGAAAGTGGTCGAACTAGAGCAATCGGATTGTCAAATTTTAATATCAAACAAATCGAGCGAGTTTTAAACAGTGCGAAAATAAAAATTTCTATGTTGCAAATTGAATTGCATGTTTATTTTCAGCAACAAGAAGTAGTAAGTCATTTTATAAATTATCTGGTTTTAAACAATTTTTTAATTGAAAATTAAAACTTCTAAATTTTTAAGAACCCAATTTTCTAAATTTCTAAGTTAAAAATATAGCTGTAAATTAACTTCTTCAAATTATGTTTATACTTAATATAAATATGAATGTTCATGTTTATTTGTTAACTATATGTTTACATTATAAATTCTTCTATTAAATTTAATATAATGTTTTGCAGGTAAATTATTGCAAAAGTAAGAATATTCCAATAACAGCTTACTCTCCACTTGGAACACGAAATTTTGTAAAGCTGATGAAGAAAACAGAAGAAATCCCTGACATGCTACAAAATGATGTAGTCTTAGAGATAGCAAAGAAGCACAAGAAAACAGCTGCACAAGTTTTATTGCGATACATTCTGCAAAATGGAATTGTAGTCATTCCAAAAAGTACTAATCCCCAGAGAATTAAGGAGAATACACAGTTATTTGATTGGAAGCTTGAATCAGAAGACATGGCAAAATTAAAAGGTCTTGATCGTGGGGAATCTGCTAGAATTTGCGATTTTGATTTCTTTAAAGGAATTCAACAACATCCTGAATATCCCTTTTAAACGTTTTACAACATATAATATTAACAATGAAATGAATAACATACAGCTTTTAATTAATGTTACATAATACATAGTTATTTTTGTTGTTATTTTAAATAGAATATTTTATAGAACATACAAATTAGATATAGTATTCAAAACCTATGAAATTTTAAAAAATTTGTTATGAAATATCTTATTTTTAAACTTAAAGCATCTTATGAATCTTTAATTTTTTTAATATTTTATTCTTCAGTATTTTTATGCAGATACGTATTGTAGTCTACAGTTTCACAGATTTTATAATAATTGTTATTGTTTATGTTTTATTATAAGGCAAAATCGAAGCAGAATAAAGAGCATTGTTAAAAAAATGTCTGTGTTGTTATTTCAATATCATGTTCATTAGTTCTTAATATATCATAGACTACATTACATAGAAATATTTATAAAATAATTTAATTAAAGAAAAATTAGATTTAAATATTTAATTGCAACCCCTTGTGTAGGCAACCAGATACTTATATTTTTATTTGTCTTCAATAACCTTTATGTTCTTATGAAAATACTAGTGAAGTAATTTAGATTTTTATTATTCTGACATTTTTATGATTTACATTTACCAAATCAATTTGTATTCAAATAAATTTACTTGTTATTAAAGTTTCTTACGCAAGAATTAAAACGAACATTCAAATACCGGATGTGAGGATTAGTTTCGACTTATCGAATCGTTTTTAACCTGGTAGTTTCGAGAGGAACGCTCATTCTTTCTTCCGTAACCGTAGATAGAGGAAAGAAATAACGTAAGTAGGTTATACATTATTTTTATTTAATTCCGTTATAAAAATGATCATCTAATATATTTTCTGAATGTTTTTGTAAATGTAAAAAGCACTTAACAAAATAAACTTATAATTTAATTATTTAACTAAGTGTATGTTATAGTTGACAAAGCCACGTGTTCAGAGTAAAGTACGACGAACTATTGTAAATTTTTTATTTGTTTATATAATTTCTATCAAATTAGTTTAAATAATAGATTAAAAAGTAGATTAAATATGTATTAATTTTATGATTAATAATGCAACTTAACATTTTTTAAAATATTATAGAATGGCGGACAATGCTCCAGCCAACCGTGGAGGTTTCCGAGGTGGATTTGGATCTCGTGGAGGTGATCGTGGAGGTCCAAGAGGTAGAGGACGCGGAGGTAGAGGAAGAGGCCGTGGCCGTGGACGTGGTAAAGAGGATAGCAAAGAATGGATTCCAGTAACCAAGCTTGGCCGTCTTGTCAAAGACGGTAAAATTGAATCGTTGGAACACATTTATCTCTTCTCCTTGCCGATCAAGGAATATGAAATAATTGACAGATTTCTTGGACCTGAATTGAAAGATGAAGTTCTGAAAATTATGCCTGTACAGAAACAAACTCGTGCTGGTCAACGTACACGTTTCAAGGTAAATACATTATTATTTTTTCCAAAAAGAAAATATATTAATAATTTTGATTAATGTTACAGGCTTTTGTGGCCATTGGTGACTACAAAGGTCACATTGGTTTGGGTGTGAAATGTTCTAAAGAAGTAGCCACTGCCATCCGTGGTGCTATAATTTTGGCCAAACTGTCAGTGGTGCCAGTACGTCGTGGTTATTGGGGAAATAAAATTGGTGATCCTCACACTGTACCCTGTAAAGTAACTGGCAAATGTGGTTCAGTTCAGGTGCGATTAATTCCGGCACCAAGAGGTACTGGCATTGTCTCTGCGCCTGTACCTAAGAAACTCTTGCAAATGGCTGGCATAGAGGACTGTTATACATCAGCTAGAGGATCCACGTGTACCCTTGGTAACTTTGCTAAAGCTACATACGCAGCAATTGCCAAGACCTATGCGTATCTGACACCAGATCTCTGGCATGATCAGGCATTAAGAAAAGCACCATATCAAGAATTTGCAGATTATTTATCCAAGAACCACAGAGCTGTGGGAGGACAAAGACCTGCTGAGGTTGTTTAAACAATAAACCTCCATACACAATGTACCTGATTGTACTTTTCTTCCCCCTCATACACTTACCCTACCCCAAAGTATAAGTACTATCCTATCCAATTAGACTGAAAATGTTTATGTACTCATGATATGTCAAAGTCAAAATGTATACAAATATCATGCAGTTTGTAGAATGGATCTTTATACTTATAGATTTTTGCATATCATAAATTCATAAGTATCTGCAATTTAGTAGAGAATAATTTATATAAAAGTTGACGTATGAGCTGATAATAAGAAATAATTCAAGAAACACTTTTTTTTGAATGAGTGAAGTTGCTATTTATTTTTTTGCATTTTAATTGTATGCAACATGCTATATAATAGTGTAGGTATATGTAAATAATTATATTTTATTGATACTTTTATAAAATTAATAATTTTAAAAATAGATTGATATTGACTGAAATCTATATCATAAGTAATTGAATTTCTTAATAAGTCAAGAAACATATCAAAACAGTAATAAGTTTGTCCACGTTTTTTAACATAACATACAGCTGCATTTAAAATGTATCCTCCCCTGTATTCAAAACTGAAAAATAATAATGTTTAGACTGATTTTTCAACAAGTCTGTCAGAAAATTTATTTATAGCTGAAAAACTTAATGTTGGTTTTTTTCTAATTAGAATTATTGTACTACTGTAGATTTTATATTTTAAGGTTATGATTCGTTCTACTAAAATTTAAATTTATACTATAATAATACAGGTAACACATTTTTAAATATTTGTACCTAATATATGTAATTATTTTACCAATTATAATCTTAAATATTAATATTAGCAACGATAGTGGTAATAATTGTGACAGTAAAGTTGCACTGTGACAATACTTTTTAGTTGACAAGAAAGGTTATAAATTATTATTGTTACACTATATAATGGTATAACAAAATGTCAACAATGTGTAAAAAAAGGAAAAAAGAAATTTTACAGAAAGAGGAGCTTCAATTGCTTGATAAATCTGTAAGTATATATAATATTATATCTACTTATAGATATAATTTGAATAAAAAGTAAATAAGCTTACAATTAGTTTTCACATTTAAAAACTTCCAAATGTTAATTTGTTATAATTTGCACATCTTGTTTAATATTCCTTGTTTTTCAGGATTTAATAGAAAAACTAATACAATTGGAAGAGGAAAATAAACAATTAAATGCAATAATTAATAAGAGAAATGAAAAGTCCAAAGACAAAGATACCACTTGTAAATCACAAAAACCATTTGACTTCTCAAAGTATATAATTACATATAATTAATTAAGAAAATACTATGAGCAAATATATACAGTAGTGTAAATTAAATTTTGAATTAAATTTTAGATGTTATAAGAGGCACATCCTTTTAAAATTCTATTACCTCGGATGGGATTGCAATGGTTTTGTTGTACAGGAAAATACTGATAATACAATAGAGCAGCATATATTTGCAGCGTTAATAAAAAGTTGTTGTATAGAATCACGAGAGACTTCAAATTATCACAGATGCGGCAGAACTGATAAAGGTGTCAGTTCATTTTCTCAAGTGATCTCATTAGATATTAGAAGTAAATTAAAACCAGAAGATCAAAACAAATTGGAGGATGAACTTCCATATTGTAAAATATTGAATAGATTACTCCCTTCTAATATAAGATGTACTGCATGGTGTCCAGTATCAGATGATGTCTCAGCAAGATTTGACTGCAAATTCCGGACATATAAATATTTTTTTCCAAGAGGAAATTTAAATATTGATGCTATGGATAAAGCTGTTAAGTATATCATAGGGGAGCATGACTTTCGAAATATTTGTAAAATGGATGTTGCCAATGGTGTTGTAAATTATATGAGAACAATTATGAGTGCAGAAGTATCTTTATATCGACAAAATTCTAAACATATATCAGGTAACTATCTTTCCATTTGTATATTTAGTTATATTTATAGATGACTTTTAATCATTTATTTTGAATTATTAATTTATCAGTAGCTAATGATATCCTGAATCTTTCAACTTCCTTTTAAAACTTTTTTTCATTAAATATTTCTTTAGATTTAGTTTAGATAGTTTAGATATGATTATCTGCAGGTCAAAGTATGTTTTAAAATACTAAATCATTAAGATTCCTTATTTTGAATTATTATATCATTTATATATTGTAGATACTAGTTATTTTTAAGTACGAATATTGCTTTCTCATCATTTTCGTAAACTTTGTCCTTAAACTTTTCTAGATAACATAAAAAAAGTATTGGAAGCAAATATTGCTTAATGCTTCAATGTTATCATAAATGATATGTATGCATGCATATACATACCATGTGCAACAGAAATGAAACTTACTTTGTATGACTCTTACTTTAATTAACACTAAAAAAAAATAAGCATTATAACTTTTTTAAAAGTAAGCACTATAAAAATAAGCACTATAATTGTTTTACAGGATATGATATATGTCAATTAATTATAACAAGTCAAGCATTTTTATGGCATCAAATTCGTTGCTTAATGGGTGTTCTATTACTTGTTGGTCAAGAAAAAGAAAAACCAGAAGTGATTTTAGAACTCTTAGATATTTCAAAATGTCCTAGAAAACCTCAATATAATTTAGCTCATGAAGTGCCATTGAATCTATGGTATTGCGAATATGAAGCTAAGCAGTGGTATATTGATCAACAGGAATTAATAAACACAGTAAAAATTTTGCAAAAAGACTGGACTCTTAATACAGTAAAGTATGAATAAGTTCAGTTTTATTCAAAAACAAATATTTATAATAATTTTAGGTTTAGAACATTATATCCACATAATATAGTTCTTAGTGATTAATTATTCTGTTTTAAATAGATCAGTTATGATTGAGAACATGTTACTGAATCTGGAAGATTCTATGAACTGTCAAAATTTATCCTTTCAAAATGATTGTCTTCTTCTTGGTGTACAATCCAAAACGTATCAACCATTAATGAAACGAGTAACTTGTGGTTAGTATACAAATTTGGAAGCTTTTAATGATATAGTTTTAATAATATAGTTATATTAAACGTAAATTCTGTTTATAGAAAGTTTGGAAAGTAAAATAAGGCATTACGAAAATAAGAAGAAAAGAAAAGAGTTATCTGATTGAATGATGATATTTAAAATGTAATTTAATTATTAAACAGATTAATGACTAAACAAGATTTATGACAATTCAGAAATTGATAATAATAAATAAATACATTAAGTTTTTTAAAACATGTTAACAAATATTTCTTCTTTTGTCAGCCAATAATTTAAATGCTATATTTTAAACATTTTTTTAAGTTGTAAACGTATCAGAAAAACAAGTAATTGACTGAATCGATTATAAACAGTTTATCATTTATTGCATATAAAACAATTTACATATTGTATACATTGTATATTTTTCATGTATTTTCATGTGCCATAAATGCATAAATATCAACAGTCTATTTAAAAGTATATAATTACAATTACAAATTACTGAATTTTTATGAATTCATTTTGAAATTATTTAAAATTACATTCGTTAACAATTAATAGAAAATTTATTCCTAAAAGTGTAAGATTTGTATCTACAGAAACAATATTCACTTGTTAAATGATTAATTTCAATTGCATTATTTCATTTATATTGTACAAAATTTTCTTCATATTTACATTTATCATAAGGAAAATAAATCCTTTTCTACCTCGTCATATGTACACGTAAACAATGCATCTTTTTAGGTTCATCGGTTAAGCAAGCTCATCAAACCGAGATTTAAAATAAATTAACAGTTCAACAAATATTAAACAATGTTCGTTTCAGACATAAGTTTACCACTAATAAGTCTCTCAAAACCAAGATTTGTTAGATCAATTGTTTGATATTTACCATCAAGAATTAATTCTGAAATTGCTCTACCTACTGCTGGTGATTGTTGGATTCCGTGTCCACTAAATCCAGTTGCAAAATATAAATTGCTATAGTATGGATGTTTTCCAATTATTCCATTTTGATCAAAGGTATTATATTCGTAGTATCCCGCCCAAGAAGATTTTAACTGCAACAACAAAATTTTTGCAATGTTTTTTTCCATATAAAAACCAGCAATTCCAAATATAACAAATATTAGAAGTGTTTAATATAATATTAATTGTATATTTTTATATACAAAATTTTTAATGTACAAAATACCTCTATATCATTTAAAAATATTTCTAAACGATTTGTAAAAACACGTACCTTTAGACTTTCAAAGGCTGTAACCCTTCTCGCAAGCATTGGCCAAACGTGTTCATCAAAAAAATTATCATCGACGCTTAAATCGTCAACCGGAGGTTCATCACTTTCACATGGTGATCTCCCACAAATATAATTACCTCCTAAACCTTCTCTCCTAAAACGAATATATTATTTATAACAATATGCTGTGAATGGAAAAACCAAGATCTGAAGATTAACTTCATTCTTTAATCTGAAGTCCTATACTTTTTCTATGTAAAATATTGCTAGTGTTTTTGAATGAACACTGCATGTTCTTATAAAATATACGTTAAAACGTTTCTAAAATATTGTTTTCTTACCTGAAGTATGTACCTGTATAATCTATTGTTATTGGTGTATTTATGCTTGGCCCATCAAGACAGTGGAAACAATAAACGTATCTTTTCCTATAAAATAAATATTTAACAATCTTCATATTGAAAGTAGGTATCAAGAAATAATAATAATATTAATTTTGGTTCATGATTAAGTATTTTTATTAGGAATAAATAATTACCGTGGTTCAACAGGTAAAGATATTCTTCGAATATCATTTGCTGCGCCAAGTTTGGCCATTTTTGCAACATTTCCACTAAAAGCACCTGCAGCTACGACAGCCGAGGAAAATTTTATTTTATGTGTTTCACCCTCTGGTGTTTTCACCTAATAACAAATATTTGTCCTTAATTTCAAATTATTGTATGTACAATATGACAATCTACTTAAATCAAAATAAATAAAAAACTTACAATTAATGCATCCAATAAATCAAAATTTTGCTCTATATTATTTTTATAAGCAAATCCTTGAGCTTCTGCAGTAATATATTCTGCTCCTAAAACCATCGCCTTTTTCTTAATAGCAGAAAGAAAAGCCCATGGATCAAACCATCCTTCTTTCTCTAACCCTAAACAGCCCAATTCAATATCTTCTGTATTTAACCAAGAAAACATGTCCTTTAACTTTTGGGCTGTTAACAAAATGTTCTTTGCTCCAAGAAAATTCTGTAATTTAGAATTTTGTGATAATACTTCAGCACCTTCTTTTGATGCTAACATTAAGTACCCATTAGGTTGAAAATATGGATCAATCAAAGTGTTTTCACCGACACCCAAATAATCATTAATGTTACGTATAAATTCAGCACCAAAAAGGGACATTTCAATATTTTCTGTAAGGGAAAATTGTTGACGTAGACCTCCACAAGAAAGAACTGTTGACGCTTTAGTGTACTGCAAATAATTTTATTACATTATTAAATGAATCATAATTATTTTTTAATAAATTTCAGTTTATTTGTCCTATTTCTTATATTTAAACTTCTTTAGCAAACTTACTGTGGGATCTCTTTCAATAACTATAACTTTGAGGTCTTTAAAAACTCGTTTTTTCAACCAGTATGCTATTGAACTACCCATTGCTCCACCTCCAATTATCACAACATCACATTGTTGTGGAATTATTGGTGGACGACCCATCCATCTTATTAAATCTTCATCATCATCTTTCATTTTTGGTAGAAGGGCTTCCTTTATTGATACTACATTATTTTTTAAGTCCTTTAAAGTTAAGGATGTCTTATCCTGTCCCTAAAGAATTTAAAATTTGTCAAAATTGTTACATTATAAATTTATATACAGTTTACGGTCAATGTAAATAATAAAATGTGTATATTTTGCTAAAGCTTAATAAATAATAAATCATTCCATATTACAATCATTGTTAATTTATCTTGTATATAAAATGCAATAAGTTACAAATGTTCATGTGTAATATAAAAATTATATAACGTTAGTTTTTTTATTTATTAAAACTAAATAAATTAATTTTGAAAATTCATTTTCCGTTTTTATAAATTATAGAAAAAAACATTATTCATGTTAAAATTTGTAGGAGATAGAGATAATTATCTGCTTATCAGTATTATTTTACAGTAATGAAATAAATTTCGTTTGCCGGTTATTTAAATGAAAGACGAAAAGTTGAATTAAAATTTACAAATAATTAATATCCGCAACAAGTAAGAGCAAAATTAAAATTTGCAATAATAAATAACAAACAGAACCAGAATAAATACAGTAAAAACAAATGAATTAAAGTAGTTCTAATTTTACATTAAAATTGAAATATTAACCTCAAAATTTTGTTTAATGTATTTACCTTTTTCGCAAAAGTTCTTTTCATTTGGAAACATACACATTTTTGTGAAGAATTAATTTGTTTTTTGTATTTAATGAAACAGCGTAACATATTTATAACTACTTAAATTTTTGATCGAAGTTAAAGATGTTACTGTCTTGTAACAGTAAATAATAATTGTAGAAACATCATAAGCTATACCACATTTATATACAGAAACGATGCAAGTAAAATAAACAAGTATTTAAAAAGTCACTCCTTAACAAAAATGTGATTGAGATAAATCATTTTATGTTTTGTAAGCATGAACTTTCTGCTCAACCCCATTTTATCTCTCCTTCTTTATCTCCATTGATACTATTTTCAATATTACAAAACAATAATGTATTAACGCTTGGTAAATGATATAAAATACTGTCTATTTATCAGATTTATTTCTTTTTTTTCAATGAATTAGTTAAATGAGTATTACAAAGTGAATACAACAAAATAAATGTATATGATAAGAATGATATAACCTATAATCATATGTTTTAAAGAAAACATCTACTTATAGTAGCATTTAAATGCATTTATCTGATAATTATTTTAATGGTTATGTCAAGATATCATTCTTTATATAAGTATCAATTAATCATTTAATGATATTTCTTTTAATTAAAAGTAATAAATTTCATATATGGTTTACATATACATTTAATGTAATTTTATAAACAAAAGTTTAACAGAATTTGTAAAACTCAATAACTAGGTATTAATGAAAGTTTATAGCAACCTTTGTATTAAAATATGTATATTTATATTTAACAATAGCTTAAAAGTAATGGTAATACTTATTTACATAATTGTTTTTATATTCAGTTTATAAAAACATGAAACGATGTATTAAATAGAAAAATTATTTCTATAGAGGATGTTTCCCTGGTTTAATAATTGTTTTACATGTTTTTAGGTTATTTTGCTCTTTTGACATCCTTTAATAACTAATATTTTGTCACAGTTATTCACAATAACTCTTCCATAAGGAAGAATTTGAAAATTATCAACCTTTGTGGTTCTGTCCATCGATCATACTACATGGAATGAGAACTAATTTAGGAATCATTCCTGGAGGTGCGATAAACTGTTGAGTACTCTGTGGTGTAGTGCGCCCAGAGTACCTCAGTTCTGCCTCTGTTACTATTTTACAAATGTCCATTTTAATATCTGCTTGTGCTTTTGGAGGAAGTCGTTTAACAGTTTGTGCCATACTATCAAAAAAGAGTTCTATACTACTTTTTCCTTCTGGCGCTAAATAGACTTGGTCATAATTATTCTGGGTCTCCTTAAAAAAATTGTCTTCATGAATTTATACTGATAATAAAATAAAATTATATTTCAATACTTACTTCTACTTTGGCAACATTCTTCGTAGGACTATTTGTTGGTGCATTAACAAAAATTGGTGTATCAACTGTTTTATTCTTGAAAGATGAAGTTTTTAAGATACTGTAAGTTGTAGGCACTTCTAGAGATTCAACTTTCATTTTCTTTGGTCTTATTTTCCTATATTTTGACTGAATTTGTTGTGTATATGTATCAATGTCATGTTGCATTGTTTCTTCTACCTCTATATTTTTTATTACATTATCTCCATTGTCATTTAGTTCTACAGAATTGTGATCCAAAATTGGATCAGCTGTTGTTTCTTCTAGAACCTCCAAGTATTCACTATAATCTTCATCGTTACGATCTTCCAACTGTTCTAATAAACCTTCAGAACTAATACCACCAGCATTTATATCTTGAATATAATCTTCTGTTAACTCTACACTTTGTGGCTGATAGTCCGATTCGTACCTGAAACATGTCTGTTTACGTTTAATATTCTTTACTTAAATATTAAATAGTGTTCACTTAACATATAATTACAGTGGGGTTATCTAATAACCAACTACCTTATAATGATTAAATGCTATAACGAACAGTTCAAATCAAAACATAATGAATACAAAATAGAAAAATAGAAACACATTTACTGTCACAATATATGCAATCATGTATGACATTTAACATTGTGTATAGAATATGTATATTTTAACATTTTGCATAAATAACATCATTTCATATGATGTGATAACAATGCACTACTGCCATAATCAGCTATTGTACTCTGCCTTTGTTACCACAGTATAGAAACAACTGACATATATACATATATCTCTATGTTCTTATTTTACAAGTCTTATTCAGAATGTATTTAATATTCTTAAGTATGTATTCTATAATAAAGAGTTCTGGAACAAATTAATTTGTTATAGAATACCCCACTATAATAATATAATAATATAAATAATTATAATTATATAAATAGATTAGAACTAATGTTAAAGATAGATTAATGAAAAATTTTCTTACGGAAATTTTAAGAAACTAAGATGGTCCTCAAAAATCCATTTCTTTCTGCGAACTCCCTTCTCTGTTTTATTTTTATACTTAAGTATGCGACAATAAGTATCTCTTAAGTTTTTCCATCTTAATCTCACCCAGGTAGCTAAACATATCAAACTTTAATTACATTTATTTTATTCATTTATAGATATATATAAAATAATAAGATGAATACAAAAGGTATTAGAAACTTTTTATTATAACTAAAGTTGGAATAAACATTGTTTTTTATATGTAAAAAACCTAATTTTTAAAAATTATATTTATTTTTTTGTCTTTATTGTTAATGTTTTTTAAGAAAAAAATGAGTAATTATGCAAATACAAATTTGTTAATATTGATAATAATTACTATATTTAGTTTCTTTTTTTTTAAATAAAACAATTTTTTTTGCTTCTGTATTCATTTGAATTGTTATAATATTTATACTGAAAAAAGCAAAGGAATGATAAAATTTTGACTGATCAAATACAAGATTTAATGCAGAAATTACAGTAAATATTTTACTGAGATAAAGCCGTATATTAGTGAAATTATTGACAAGAAGAGTAAAAGGAGAAAATGAGTTCGTACGATCAAGACCAAGTTCATCAGAAATCCTCTTCCAAACCTTCTGCCGGAATTCCTGAAGTTTGACAGAAGAGCCCTTTACTTCAGCACTATACAAAACCGGGTGTTGTTTTATCGCCTCAATGATTTTCAACGAAATTTTATGTGAATCAGGCGGCATCGTCGGCACCATTTCGTCCGTTGGAAATCGTTCGAAGAAACGAACCGCTTGTCGTTAATATTGGAAACTCGATCCTATGCTTCTGATTCAAGAATTAAGCAAAATTTGTAAACGGCGTAAAAAAATTTGAAAATATGAGAAGGATTTAATCAGACATTTTACTAAGACTAATATTGTCAATTTATTTAATAATTAAACAAAATGAAATCGATGGATTCATTTATTTTGACGTTATTCATAAATTAAATAATTAAATGGGATATTTAATAAAAGATATGCATAAATTTGTATTTTGAAAATTATTAACAGATTTGTGTTTTAATTAAACTAAAATAATCTATATACTTGTTATTTGGGAACAAGATTGAAGGTTGGATTCCTTGTTTAATATAATAATTTTACAGAATTCTGCCACAAATCTTATAATTCAGAATGTATGACAAGGCTTGAATTCATTGCACAATGATATTGGTAAAAATTTGTTCAATTTGAGATGACTAAAGTTCGCGTCGCGTTTTAAGAATCGGTCGTTAAGTAATCGAAAACTGGAGTCCGTAAATGAAACGACAATCGCCATTCTTTCTGATTAACTGCACTTCCGTCGCGCTACTTTAACCGGAAGTCCTTCACTTTTTGTATGTTTTTGTTTTGAATCAAACTTTATATGAATTTCAATATAATTATTCAAACTTCTTGATGCTGTATTTTAATGTAGATAACATTCTTTAATATTAACACACTTTAGATATACATTTTAACTCCATACAGTATTTACAGACATAGAATAAATTGCACATGAAAAATTATATTAATAAAATTGTAATTAGAAATAAATTAGTAATTAAAAAATAAGACGAAATTCTAAGTTACTAAATTTCCAAGTCTGTGAATTCTTAAATTACAAAATTCTCAAATTCTAAATATATTAATTTTTGCATTCTTAAATTTCCTAAATTTTAAAATTCCTAAAGTTGTAAAATTACGAACTGCCAAATTACTAAATTCCTAAATTTCTTAATTTCTGAAGTTTCAAAACTAATTGTTTGTGAATTTGAAAATTTGTACCTTTGGGAGCTTTAAAATTAAAATTTTTGCTAATGATACGTAAAAAAATCAACGAATGATAAAAAATATGAAATAATGGGGTCTTTCCCCTGCGTTACCACTTTTCCTAGGAAACTTATCAGGCTCGCCAATCACGGTTTTTACGAATATTATTTCTATTATTATTTATTATCCTTTAAAATTAGACATTTTTATCAAAATTAGGATGAATGCAATTTTAAATAGTGTATGATTTTTTTATTTTACATTTAGGTCATTTTAAAACCCCCTTGTAAGGTTTTTCAAACTTGACGTTCTATCTAGTACTTGTTTACATAGTATATGATCGTTACATGGTTAGATAAGTAACCCTAAAAGTAGGTCTAGTTTTTACCAAAATTGATTTGTAAATTGAAAACAAATGGCTCAGTTACCTTCAGGATTTGTTTCTCATACCAGAAAAGTATGTAGTCTTTACAAACGTGCTTTACGTGCAATTGAAGATTGTTATCAAGCTAGACACGACATTAGGTAGGTAATACATAAATATTTTAATAAGTTTTTAATATTGATTTAAATAATTACAATTTCTCATGTTGTAATTTTTATTTATAATGATAGTTACTCTAATTATTAATATATTAGTTTCCATTTCTTTAAGTTATCAGTTATAATTTAGTATCAATTAAATTGCATTGACATTATGTAAATGCAAGAAATGATTTTTTAAATTGAGCCCTACGTCAGTATTTTAAGATAGTCCATTAGTCCAATGTTGTTTTCTTTTACGATTCTTTTGATATTTTCATAGTTTCAAAAGCACTTTTCTTTCAAATTTATAAAATCGAAAAATGTTACGCATCAATATGTTTTTTATTATCTAAGTAGTAGCAGGATACATATGAGTAATATATGTATAGCATAACATGCTCTTATGATACTTAACAATTATAATTTGATTTCTATATTTTAAAATTGAAATTAAATAAATTAAATATTTTAATATGTAACATTAAATCTAATTATATATTGTTATTTTGATTTAGATATCATTCAGTTATATTAAGGCAACGCTTTGAAGAACATCGTAACATAAAAGATGTACGTGTTGCCAAAAAACTGTTATTAGATGGTGAAGAAGAACTGTTTCAAAATCAGCATTATCAGCCAAAAAAATTTCCTGAATCTGTAGGTGGAGTAGCTTATAATCGATCGCCTTATATACCAGATTCTGTTCTTGACTATTGGGATGGAAATGAAAAAGCTAGATATCCAAAATACTTTGCATTAAGAGAAGAACTTAAAAAAGAGTATGAAAAGTTATATTATAAATTGTATCCTAAAACTCCTGAAGAAAAAAAGAAGTAAACATTTACAGTAAGAAATTGGTATTTATATAGGTATAACGTTTAGATGTGATATTTATCTGTATATATAAAAAATAAAAAGTTGTTAATACCTTTATATTGTTTTCATTTTTTCAATATTAAGAAAACTTGTATGTAATAGATTCATATAAGAACTACTTAAATGAGATCAATAAGTAAGCATCTCAACTCAAATATAATTAATAAAATATATTATTCATTAAGTAGTCATTACTTTCTTTTTAGAAATATCTATTCTGACATATGCATGTCAGAATCTGCATAAGTTATATGCATATGTTATTAGGTATAGTAGCACAAAAGAATATATCATAAATAGGTAATGTTTTATAATTTTAAAATAGGCCACTAGGTAGCGTAGTAGAGGAATATAAATTAAACATGAATTCACATGCTTAAACTTTCATCTTCCAAGTGTCATTCGTATTTCAGTTGTCATAAATTCTTTACTGTCATGTTATGTATAAAAAAATGGTTAATTTAGAGGAGTACAAAAGTAAATTGGAACAAATTCGTCAGCATGCACAGAAAAATGGAATTTCTGAATCTGACATTAATCAAGCTTTACAAAATTCGTTTTGTATTCTTGAAAGAAGAAATAAAAAATGTGGTGTTTCTTTCTGCACAAAAATTATAGCTGTAGTCATTTTTATTACAATTGTATGTTTTATATCTTTCGATCAAAGGTTTTTGGTAGTTATGTTAGTTAGGAATTTACAGAATTCCATTTATCCAGGTTTAAAATTACTTCGAAAAATAGCTGTACCAGTAATTGAACAGTATCCTTCTTTATCTGGTATGTCATAATTTTTTTTAATGTTACTAATAAAGTATAAAAAAAATTGTATTAATGTTATATTTATACGCATAATTCAGTTGTATATGTAAATGTACTATAAAATCAATTATTAATAATTAATATATAATAAAAATGTGTTTAAATAGTAAAATATAGCATTTCGATTTTTTAATATAGCATTATGATTCTTTGATATGATCTTTAGTATAGCATTATGATCCTTTATTTTAATTAAAATTTTATATTCCATCTATTTAATTTACATCACCTTTTTACTTTTATGTTTATACCTTTTAGATTTTTATGAAGAATGGTGTATATTAGAAAATCCATTTTTCTATGTACACGATATGGATTGTTGGCCATGCAGTGTTGTACATTTCATACCTGATTTAACAGGATATCAAATATCCAGGTCATTTAATCCTGGAATTCCTTATACAAAAACAGAAAACTTTTCAGAGGTTCATATGGAAGATATACGACAACTATATTTAGGAAATTCAGAAATGTTTGAAAAAGATGCTGCGAAAGTATTTTCTAACAATTTAACTTATAGGTATACTGAAATTACGAAATATATATTAACAAAAAACGAATTTGAAGTTTGTTTTATACAGAGATATAGTTTTATGAGTGAAACATTGTTTCAGAAATATTAGAGATATTATGGAAAGTAAAGTAGACTTACATCCTACAGAAAATTTAAATAATCATATTACTTGGAGAATCAATCGAATGACTCCAGCAAGAATTTTGAGGAAATTATTTCCAAAACCTACAGATACACCAAATTGGTGGGAACAGAGCATAGAGAGATTTATTTTTTTTGATGAACCAAAATCTCCACCTTATTCTTTAGTAAGAAATTATACTTATTTCATATATTTTGTATTATAATTTAAAAGAATTTGCTATATGCTTTCTATAACAAGAACCATCAATATTCTTTAATTGATAACAAAATTTGCAAACATAGTTATTGTAATTAAGTATTATTAAGTATAAATAACTTTTCCAATTAATAGATTTAATTTGTAAAACTGCAGCCAAATCCTGAATGCAGTAATGTAGTGATTAGATGTGCAACAGGTACAAGACTGATAAAAATGATAGCAAGTTCAGAATGTACTAGTTCTTGTAAATCATTTACAGTATTATTATCCTCTGGAAAAACTTGTAAGTATATTCATTTGTACTAAATTAAATAAATCAATTAATTTATAATTGATTACATAATTTACATATTTTGGGCTTAATTACTACATGATTTTAACAGAAAATTTATTTACATTTCATTCTACTTACATATATTCTGTACTATTATTTAACAATTCACTGTTAAAACTACATATTTTTCAGTGTGGTACAATTGGTGGTACTGGCGTCCGATTAGCCTTCCAACTTTAAATTCAACAAGTATTTCCATTAGTTACTTGACTTCTTTTTGTTAAATTGTATTTTTATATAATTTCGATTATTTATACATAATTACGTTTATACTAAATAATTTGTCTACAGTGATGTGGTTATTTTCATTATCCTTTCATTAAAATAAGTGTTTGTGCATATCCGTTTATATAATTGCAATTTTAATTACTTTGTGCTAATTTTGACAGAGTTATCGTTTAGCCAGTAAATCTTTGTAAAATTGGGGTGGTGAGATCTGTTTGTATTAAAAAAAAAATTAAAAAAAAAAGCATTTGATTTTAGATTAAGGAATGTGTTTTATGGCTTGGTCAACAGAATTATATTGAAATCAATTCAATATCAATAATTAAACTAAAAATTAATTACTTATTTTTTGTTACATTATGTTTAATGTAATATTTCAAATAAATAAGCATATATCCTTCAAATAAATAAATTCTTTAAATTTATTTCCTAAGCTTCAATCTAACTTTTCTTGTAGTTTTTGTTTAAATAAAACAGGTACTAATGAAAGTACTGCAAATACACACAACATTAAGATGCTATTCCAAGACCATGCATCACTAGATGATGTCAAGTTTTGTAATGTCTGTCCTGCTTGTATTGCAACAAATGATGGTGGAGCCACTCCAAAGAAAGTACCCAAAGTAAATGGTGCAAGGGGCACTCCTATTACAGGACTGGCTAAATTTATAAACCAATTTGGAAGTAGTGGAGTCATCCGAAGGAACAGCATATAATTAAAAAGGTGGTGTTTGTGCTTTTTCACTGTTAGCGTCCATTCGCGTGCTTTTTCTGGGAAATACTTGAAAAGTAATATACGTCCCAAAATTGATGATAGAAGATAACAAAGTGATGCTCCTACTGCACTACAGGTGCATACTAACAATAAAGCTAAAGGAAATGGGAAAAGAAAACCAGAAAGAATTGAAAGGAAAATAGAACCTGGAATAGCAAAAGTTTGTAGACTGAATTCATGTTAAGGAATTAATATTTTTTAAATTAAACGAAAAACTGTGTTTAGATGTATGAACTAAATCAATGAGTTGATGTACAATGTAAGTTCAAATACACGTTTCTGTTTTTCAATTCATTGATTCAATTTATGTAATTTGTTTCTGCACTTAATTTTAAATCATGTTAGTAGCAATGCTTGTTTCACAATTAAAATAATCTCATTTGTAAACTGCAGATGTTTATGCATTTTAGATATATCAAAATCTTCAAAGTAATATACAGTTTGAATTACAATAATTGACATAAAAAACCTATAATTGTTTATGATGCGAACACTGTGTGTAAGTTTAAATGTAGGAATTAAATTATCAAAGGATACAAAATATACGTGATAAATAATCCAGTCAGCACTTGAAAATAATATAAATCTTTATATCGGCCCAACAGTTTACCCAAATTTTTTGCATCCTCTATATGTAATGGTAACTTCATATGTTGTCGTTCATCTCTAAAAAAAAGTCATAAATTAAAATATTTCTTTACATCATACATTTTTATAATTTTTTCTTACTCTGCGAGTTGTGGAAAACTAGTATATACATAAAATAGCGCCAATAATGAGGTAATGAAAATTATTGCAACTGTTAGGAAAGCTTGCTTTGTCGATGCCTCATTGGAGGAATCTGAAATTAAGGTTTGTTATGTTTGCTTTTGTAATTATAGTAATTTGTTTGAATAGGTTAGAATATGAAATTTAACAATAAATAAGTATGAAAGTAATATTCCCAAATCTAATTAACAAAATAACATGGAGTCATTCTAAGTGAAATTATTCAATGAAAACTTCACTCATAAAAATTTATGTACAGAACTGCTTTTTAAGGTTAGAATTCTCTGATCCTCTTTCCTTTATTAATAAATAAGATATTTAAAAGTAATAAACAACTAAATTGTAAAACGTGTAAGTAACTTGAAATTTAAAGACGTTTATTAAACAATCATTGAGAGATTAAATAAAATACAATAATAATCATTATTTATAGTTCGAAATCTGATATAAAGAAAAAGGGTAAGTAACAGATTATGAAATTAATTAACACGTTTCACAACTTTTAAAATATTATATTATAAAAAATTATCTTACCGATACTTTGTTTTACTCTAGTTTCTGTTTTCATAACTAGATCGTTACTGTTCTTTCATAAGTTAATTCCTGAGAAATGCAAGATGGCGCGCAAGTAGAAGAAAATCTTTGGTCCTTTTTGTACCAAGTTCAATAATTTTATTTGTATGTACGTATTCACAATTATTATATAAACTACTTATTATATGTAAATTAAACACAGAAATTATGTTATTTAATTATTCATTTAAAACCCGAGTAATATATAATCTGATAGCAATAATAAAAAAATAAATTTCAAAATTATAAATTGATTTGAAATGTTTATATATTTTTTATAATCATTTAACATTTCTTCCTCGTTTTAAATACTGTATTATTAATGTAAGTATTTATATTTTTAAAATGAAAAAAACTAAAATATTTATAATTATACAGGCTATATACAATAATAATAATTCAAACCAGATTAGATATAGTTTAGGTGATTGACAATATAAAATAATAAAATTATTTAGCCTGTTATAACGTGACAACGTTACATCTGTCGAATTAAAAAGTAATTTTTCATAATTATTGTATAATAAATTGAATCGACTGAACAATTTAATCATTGTTTTATAATTGCAAGTATAAAGCAAATATTGCAACTAAGGTGTAATTTATTTTAAAGTACTGCTATTTCGCGTTATTCTTTGTTGTTATAGGTATCATTGCAATTTTATAAGTAACGATGTTTAAAGCCATCACTATCTTTTTTTTATTCTACCGCGTGGCTCCCTCTGTCCTCTTTTATCTTCTTTCAGCTCTAAGTTTCTTTTCATATCTTTTTCCTTTTCACATATCTCTCTCTTACAAACTTCTCTTTTCAAGAGAGGATTGTGGGCGGAAATTAGAATAACCAGTCTAGCCAGTCGTGTTGTAGTCGGCGCGTGGTGCGTGTCTAGTTCGCGTTGAGCACAGATTTTTCGAAATAGCGCCTTTTCTTTTTCCTCTTTTTAATATGCTGAAAAGAACATTTTCTCGATTTTTAGCGTAAAAATATCTGTAACTCTGTAAAGCTTTGTTTGATCGAATCGGTATCCACAATTTCATTCGAATGGGTGGATCAACGATTTTTTGTGAGTTCTCGATACTTTATTGGTTCTTTTCCCGCTAATCGATTTTGGATATATCGATTGGATTGCGTCATGACAGGTCTGAATTTATCGAAGGCAGCGTAAGTATGTTCGCATATGTACACATATTTAAATTTTTATTTACTTTAGCGATGTAAAATAAGTATCGTGTACTTTTGTTTTGCTGTTGTTCTGTCACTTCAAGTCAGACAGTTTTAGTCTCTTTAATTAATTGCAATGTGCAATCGAATACTCATTGCTACAGTATCGATCATTCTAGTATTACAGATATTATCGTGTTTGACGACTGATTTAAAAAATGGAATGTTAGCGAGTCAATATAGATTTTCAGTTTAAACGATAAGTAGTTTTATCAGTAAATTATAGTACAATAAAAATAGCAAAAGGATTTATAGAGAAATAAATGAAAGGATTGATTTAAAACGCGATCAAGATAAAATGCGAAATAAACGAATCGATAGTCGACTTCTCTGTTCTGAATGACAGAAGTAGCGCATGGAATACTAATGAGTTTTATGAATGGTAGTACGCTGATGTCTTAACGATAGTTACTGACATATTAATAAAGGAACAATTAACGCGAGCATTAATGAAGCAATTTTTATTGCATATCAAGAAAACCTTACATTTTTTAAATTATTTAACATTTTATGTTAACCTAAAATTTTATGTTAAATAATTATATTAATTAACGTAATAACATATTTCAAGTTTTATAAGTTATAGACAAAAATTGTTAAATAAAGGTGTAGTAAGATAAAGAACATTAATCACTTTTTTCCAGATGAAGTTGATTCAAATTTTTAAAGATTATTTTAATTATTTAATTAAAATAATTAAATAATTAAAATTTAAAATTATTTAATTTTTAATAAATTGCGATATAGTAAATTGTTTCGAGCTAAAATTCCAGCAAAATAAATTTATAATGTTTTTAAATTTTTAGTTTAGATTTAAAAGCAAAATGTGTAAATAAAAAATTTTAAGTATTTTATAAATATTTGTTATGCGTTTACAATAACTAGAGATATAGAGATCTACAGATTTAAGATAGTAAGTTGGTAATAGTTACTGATCCATCCTAGTTATTTATTACTAAATTGACATTATAAAATATAAAGTATTTAAAAGATCATGAAGTTGAAGCACAAGTTTCTAAACAATAATACTTTCTTCATTATTAATATTAAAAATCTTCAGTCAAATATTTTGTTAACTGTATGCATACCAACCTAACAATTTTCCCTAAATTTTAGTGAACATGTCCTCATAAAATAAATATAATACATTATTATTATACATTACTACTATATGTATTGCTATATATTATTTAACAATTAAAAAAACGTTTAACAGATACTATTATCATTTATATGTAATACTGTATAAACAAATAGTTCGTTTTTAGTTATCGATATTATGTCGATAATCGAAAATATATTACCTGTTTTCAAAACAGTGATTCACTATTGTGTAATTTTTTTAATTCACTTTTATTACGAGAATAGTAGTTTGCATTACAGTTTCAACAAGTTTGGATAACTGTTACCGATCGGAATATACACAGAGTTAGGTTAACGTGTTCGTGGTTTTAATCTGTGTAAGTTTGCTACGCAATCGAGAAATACTTTACGATTGTCCGTGGCGCGCGTAGCAAATTTTAAACAGCTCGGGAGAAAACAACGCCATAGATAGTAATACGCTTTCTATTCCCGCGACACGATTTTTTATTTATGGCCTTTACTATCTTCATTAGCATACTACGTTTATTCGATAACACTGTTATACAAAATTATATTATAAATATAATTATACATATCATAAATAAATTTTTATTCTTTTTGTTGACCTTGCACAAAGTAGAGAAAGACTAGAGGGTCGCAGATATTTTTGGGCAGTTTTCAATTTCTACAATCGATATGAGATATTGCACAAATATGAGAAGTTATAACAAGCACTAAAAATTTTTAATTTTAAATTAATTTTTTTATGTATTTATGCAGGTTATTAATTGTAACAAATAATATAGTTTTTCTGTATTGTTGTAAATTAGACGGTTGTTTATTTTGAAGTAAATTAAACTAATAAAAGCAAAAAAAAGAGATAGTACTCATGGCATATTAATTTGAAGCTAAAAGTTCGATGAAAGTGACTGCATCAACATTTCATTAAAATTCTTAATACAAAATGGCCGGCTCCTTGTTGGAATACATAATGGACTAATTAATTTGCAACTTGGTATTATGTATTAGAGATTACTGAATTGTCAGTTCATTATATGATACAATGATACGGGAAGTCTTAATTTGTTTTACGTTTTTGGGTTCAATAACTTTTATTAAATACATTACATATTACCTATACAGACATTTTCAAATTTAATTATTTAGTATTATAATTTGCAAATTTATTAAATTTATAGTTTCGACTTTTTATTTTGTCTATTCTGTTTAATCAAATTTTTGTTATGTTTTATTGTATGGAATATTTGTTATAAAAACTTTAATATAATCTAAACAAAACTAACCTGATATACACATTAATCTAACCTAACATAAATATTAATTAAACATAACCTAACCATACTTAACCTAAACATTAATGTAACATAATGTAATGTTGTTCTACATAATCTAAACATCAATCCAACCTAACCTTACTAAAACTAAACATTAATGCAGCATAATATGACGTAGTTAATATAACCTAAAAATTTATTTATACAATCCTACCTAACCTAAACTTTACTTTAATATAAACCTGTAAACTTCAAAATATAAACCTTATGAAACACATAATCCTTTACACTTAAATTTTGAGCTAAACCCCATACATTTAGAAAAAAATATTTAAGATTTATTACGAACGTTATGATACATGCCAACTTCAATATAAATTTTATGTTAAAAATGTTAACATAAACATTGTGTTTAAAAGAATATTTAATGCATCAGTCTATTGTTACTGAATATTATCGTGTTTAATGATTGATAGCGATGATTATTGTTACTAATGTAAATCACAGGGAAATCATGACCGAATTGCGGTCAATTGATTCACGTTCAAACTATTCTAATGTGCGTGCGTACGCACACTCATAATGGTGTACCGTCGCCACACAACTACGGATGTAATTACATCGCGAACGAGCCGGAAGTAGAAACGGTCTGGCCGGTTTTGCCGGTTAAACGACTACTTTACACGCTCGATTATTTCAAAGAATCAACTGAAAGAAATAATGTACGTATTTCTGCTGTTGCAAATGTTATCTGTGCGACGGAAAAATGGTTGATAAACTAGAACGATAAACTTTCTTTACATGCAACAGAGTTATATAACCTCCTTACAACTGCCGCTGTCGATAAGGTTATCGATAAATTGTATCAAAATGTTATCGATATAGTATTCTCAATAAATATCGTTAATACCAAAATGTTATCGACGAAGACACAACTAAATGTCGATAACATTAAAATGTCATTGACAATTCGACATATCGATAATATCGTTAAATGTTAAAATATCGATAACAGCACTTCGATTCTTCATTTGTAAACAAAAACCAGTTTTTGTCTTCAGGTATTTTTATGGGAAAATATAAATTAAAAAATACGATAAAATTTTATTGCTTTGTACTGTTTATTCATGATATATGTATTTGCTAGTCAATATATGCACTTATTTCCATAAGTTCATGTATTCATCTGATACTCAAAACTGATTTACATCTGTACATCTGATTACTCAAAATGTGTGGTAGTAAACATGCATTCACTGAAATAAGCATTCTTGATACTAGATATGCATATCAACAATATAAATTCTAAATTTTATATACCATTTTAGGTTTAGAATTGCACGGTACATTAAAATGAAATAACACGTTGAATGTTAAATGGAATATTAAACAGATCTATTAAAAGATCAACGATATTATGCCTAACGTGAACATGTTTATTCTTTTGTTAAAATTTTATGTAAATACATACATTGATTATTTCAGATATTCAAATTGTAAGATTCTCATATTGTAATATTTTCAGATTTGCAAATCAAGCTTTTAAATATTTAAATATTCAAATTTTTATTTTATTTATTTTCCACTTTGTTATCAAATCTTAAAAAACCTTAATAAGTAGTAACCCTCAAGGAATAAGGAAACGTGTCATATTGATCTAAACTGAATGTGATCATAGATGGCGATAAAATTCAAATCTATTTATACGAATAATTAATAAAATAATGCAAATATTTTAATCAATGTAGTAAAAAATACTGCGGTATATTCTGCTATCTAATCCTGTAACAAAAAGCAAATATAACTTTTAAATATGCGTTTGAATGAATTATTTATCATGCAAATTTGAATTTTACCGCCACTCGAGATGATCACTGCCCTCTTGCTCCAATCGCATGATCTCTCTCTGTCTTACTCCCGGGTAAATCAGTGTGGAGGTAACCAATCAAAGTTGCAGACACAATTTTGTATCCTTTCCAGTAGCAGTGCTGGTAAATATTGAAAGAAGCTGTCGCAGTGAATGTACAATCGAACGTTCGTTGAAATTATTTCAGGTGATGCCTCGGGAGCCCAATCGGGGATATCTGTTGGCCGTGCTGCTGCTATTGGTCGGTTCCCGCAAGGCTAGCTGCTCGACATCCGCTCCCCGATATCCAGTTTGTAAACCGGGTTTCGAATTTTGGTCGGTCGAGCGTGACACCTGTTGGCCTTGCACCAGATGTGCTCCTGAATTTACGTTAAGTCCCTGCACGATTTACAAGGATGCTATTTGCGGGCCATTGTCAGCACTCGAGCTCGATTGGTCTTTCCTCTCGACGAAGAAACGACCGGAAACGGGCCAAAGGAGCCTCGAGGCTGTCACCTCGAAGATGTTCTGGAGGTTCTCGGATTTGGACCAACAACAGATCAGACAAGAATCGAATGATTTCGTAGGACGCGTAGGGAATTTGGAACGTAATATTGAATTGGAAACGAAGGATCAGGTACGAGGGGAACAACATATTTATCTACAATACAACAGTGATTGGAAATTCCCCTAGATAGTAGTTTTATTTTTGATGAATGAATAGTGATTCAATGAAGTATTAACATTTTTAATTTTTCAAATTTATCAGATAAATGACTTTCAAATTTTTAATTTTTAAATTTTTGAACTTTTATACTGTTTGGTAATTAAATTAAATACTTTCAAAATTTTTAATCCTATGCTTTGGCTGTTATTAAATTCGTTTATTTAAAAGTATTCAAATTATCAAACTACTAATTTATGAAGTTATCAACTTTTTAACTTGAAATTATCAAATTTTTAAAACGTCCAAAGTGCTGAATTACTAAATTATTAAATTTTGAAGTTTTTAATTTTTAAATTGTCAAATTCTTAAATTTCCAAATTTTCAATTTTTAAGTATTTAACAAAATAACTTTTAATTAACTAAATATCAGTAAATTAAAGCATCTAATCCTCATGAAAGTTCTTGACGATTTATTTTCAATAATTAAAAATTAACAATGATCAATAAATTTTGTAATTATTTTCAACCTTCATATATTATTATATGTAGTTTAATTGTTATTAAGTTGTTATAATTATTTGATTTTAGATAGTAAATGAACCTCGTCTGAGGGAAACGTCTTCGGAGGAGAGAATCCTGTGGGATTGGCAAACAGGAGCCTTGATCCTTGCCGTCTGTGCCTGTATTCTTTTTTTCCTGGTCGCAGGATGCTCAGCTCTAGTCTACGCGAGGCAGTGGCGTCGAATGAAGAAAAACTTCGAGCCGGGTAAAATCTCAACTTTAATGTAATATTTTCTTAACAAATTATAATCATATTTTTTACCATATTTCCAAATTTGAATATTTGACAGTTGAAAAATTTTAGGACTTGAAAATTAAAAAATTTGGAAGATTGGTATTAAATTTGTTAATTCCCAAATTTCCAAATTATCAATATTCTAATTTTGAAAATTTAATAAGTGAAAAATTTGAAAAATTAAAAAATTTGAAAATTTATCTAGTTCTAAATTGCTAAATCTCCAAGTTACCAAATTTGTAAATTCAAAAATTTACAAATTTGAAAATTTTAAAAGTTTGAAATTTGTTTAGTTTTAAATTTCAAAACTTCTAAATTACTAAATTTCTAAATTTGAAAATTAATAATAGGGAAATTTAAACATTTTACAATTTGATATTCCTAAATTTGTCAATATTTAAGTTTACAAATTACAAATTTCTAAATTCAAAAATTTCACAACAAAAAATATCAAAATTTAAAAATTTAAACATGCTCTAATGCACTAATATATTTTTAGTCCATCACAAATAATGAAATAGATTAAAAAAATTATGCAAACAGAAAAGAATTATTTCTCATTGTATCTCCATAAAATTTACATGTCATCTACATATGCAAAATGTTTCAGAGAAAGTGTTAAAACGATGAAAGAAAAAGAACAAAGGAAATGAAGGAATCGTTATCAGTAAGTTCGCGTTCTAGTATTTGGTTACATTCGATTCTGAAGGATTGGTAGATGAAGTAGAGGGGGATAAGAAGTCCTTTAAAATGCAAGGCAGATTTTCTTCATTAGAGGGCTACTCACGACCTCTGCTCACCTTGGCTCGATCTATCACGCCCGGATATGACGTCCTGGTATTCAATGCTTCTCGTTTCTTTCATCATGCTCCGTTCCGTGTTCTCTTTATACTCACTTACCAACTTATGTCATCTCTGATTGTTTGTTATCGTTTGGAGAACGAGATGTGACTTGATTTGATCACTTTTTTACTTATTTATTTTGCACTTGTATTCGCGTCGTAACAGTATGTAATATGTACATATTTATTATATTGTTATACATATATATTACTCACTAGTGTACATGCTTCTTTATATATTATTCGATATTTTCTTTATACTATTTTATATATATTTTTTCAAATAGTTGATTTCAATTGAATTTGTGTAGAACCTTGAAATGGGATCAATTGACCTTGAAATAGAATTTTAACATTTGAAATGAAATGTAAGGTTAGGTTGATGTGTATTATGTTTTTTCTATCTTCATTGATATTTTGCACATGTAGTGCTGGATGTAGACTTATATAATGTTAACAAAACCTAATATCTTAATAATTATAATTTAATACTGTAATATATGTACTTTAATATTTCAATATCTTTATATATGAAACAAATCAAATAATTTATAATTTCATAATATGAATTATAATTTAGTTATATAAATTCAGTAGTTTACTATTTGATATTTAATAATTTATTTATTATAATATGTACACATCTGTAATAGTAGTTTAAATAATTAGGTTCATGAAAATTGTTGATACATTATAAAAAACAAATTTGGATAAAATTATTTCATTGATATTAAGAATTAAGTAATTTATTTTATACCAATACTATCATTGCTTTGTTTTTTATAATGCATAAATAATTTATGTGAACCTGATTATGTAAACTAATACTATGAATAATTATCATAATAAATAAATTATTATCAGATATCAAATCTGAGAATTAGGAGATTTGAAAATGTAGCAATTTATAAACTTAGGGATTTGAAAATTTAGGAATTTGTTAATTTGTAAATTTGAGAATTTGCAAATTTGAGATTTTGGAAATATAATAACTGAATAATTTGGGCAATTTAGCAAACCTTGTCAACTTTGAAAATTCAAGAATTAAAAAATGTTCAGATCTGTGAACCGTTTAAATTAAAAATACTGACAAAAAGTATTCCAAAAATTCTTCCAAATAAATACAAACAACCTTGAAAGAACAAATTAAGAAAAGTAATCGAAAGGTCAAACAGATAGATTCCATCACTAAGTAATACGTTTCCTCGGGAAACGTGGGTGGCAGAATAAGTTAGGGGCAGGGGAAGAATGGGAGGCAAGTGAACGAAGAGGGGGGAAAAGAGCGGGTTCCGGCGTATATGAGTTCTGCGTAACGTTCGTTATGCAAATGTGGATAGTAATATTGTACAAACGTTCATTGTGGATCGTAACACCGTTCGAAACCTCTCCTTTTCTACCACGTGTATTCGTCGAAGTCACACGGTTGTCCAAACAGTTCATCATACATAACGCGTGTTCAAGTTTCGTTTATGAGCACCGTAACGGCAATTTGCAAACATCGGTTCTTTATGCCTTGCAGCGCTGGATGAACCGTAAGGAATTTAAAGTAGTTGAATCACGCGATTTCGTGTACACTGCCATTTAAACGTTTCGGAAATCTTAAGCCTAGTCCAAACCTACATACAGTAATGCAAGAAGTACTCCATTTAAAATCATAAACTATGCAGTAGGGTGATGTTTGTTTAACCAACAAATTTTTTGTTTCATGGGATATTCACCAATACCCTTATGAATTTTTATATTTTTTAATTGATTATTAGGACTCGCTGTCATTTATTTTTTTTTTTTCATTTTTCTCTGAGAACTTGGTTTATGAATTCGTTATTGAAAATATTGAGTAGCACTTAATATATGAAATGTCAAATTTTAAACAGATCAAAGGTACTACGTGAAAAAATAAAAACTGATCTTTTTTATCAGCATGTATGTTTGAGTCGTGATTCGAGCAGGCATGAATGGAGCATACTATTTTCGTTTCAATGCCGGTTCGGCGTTGTTAATTCGAGGTACATACGCATAAATGTTTCATTCATGTTGTTGTACACGCATAATCGCTTTACTGTTCTCTTCTTGAAAAGCAAATAGTAGAAGAGTTCTCGTTAAAAATGATTTAAGAGTGACTTGAAAAATGGAACAAGACGTAGAGCATGTATGTAAATTGATAATACAAGCTACAACTAAATTTTAAATAATGCCTTATTGTTACCATGGAAATTTAATGAATATAGAAGAATTAATTTTAATGCGTACAATAGTTAATATATTTTTCAAATGTTTATATGCAGATCTGACAAAGAAAAGTTTCAAATGCTAATTTATTGATATTAAATGATAATATATTGTAATTATCAGGTGCTATCGTATATCGCCATGAATTACATTATTATGGAATTTCTGGTTCTTGGTTTACGGAAATATCACACGTTATATTGCCATGCACACAATTACTATAAGTTCTATTACTATTCTCTATATTGCCACACACGGAAATGCTACATGTTATATCGCCACGCGTTGTATTGCCACATATAGGAATACTACACGTTATATTACCACGCGTTATATCGCCACGTGTTGTATTGCCACATATAGGAATATTACACGTTATATCACCACGCGTTATATCGCCACGTGTTAAAGTACTATGCGTTATGTCATCTCGCGTTATATCGCCGCGCGTTTTATCACCTCGCGTTATATCGCCGCGTGTTATATCACCTCGCGTTATATTGCCGCGCGTTTTCTTACCTCACGTTATATTGCCGCGTGTTATATCACCTCGCGTTATATAGCCGCGCGTTTTATTACCTCGCGTTATATCGCCGCGTGTTATATCACCTCGCGTTATATCGCCACGTGTTGTTTTGTCACATATAGAAATACTACATGTTATATCGCCGCGCGTTATATCGCTACGCGTTATATCACCTCACGTTATATCGCCACGCGTTATATCATCTCGCGTTATATTGCCACGTGCTGTATTGTCACACATAGAAATGCTAAAGGTGTTATCACCACCTGTTATATTGCCGCGTACAAAAATTCTACATGTTATATCAGTATGCATTATATTGCCACGCACACAATGTTCCATGTTATATTACCACGAATTGTATTGTCACAAAAATGACACGCGTTATATAGCTACACATATACATTTTGGTCGTTATATTACCAGAAAATATCAAAAATACTGTACACGAAATTGCCACGTGTAAAATTCGGGAGAGAAAAATAGTTTTATAATGTATTTTAACTTATATTAGGTTTAACTTCGATCACTAAGAAATGCTTGCGTACAATATTTTAGAGTGAAAGTATCTGGAAGTCTTAAAATAGAGTTCCATTCTCTAAGTTCGAAGAAAAATCTATATTGTCTATTTACAATTACAGAGTAATGAAGTTGTAATTTTTACTGTTGTTCTGAAGTCGATGAAAATTGAGTGTAGGCAGCAAAGAATTTGTAAGAATTTCAAAGATGCGTAGCGTAAAAGTTACGATGATCAGTCATTTATTTTCTTAGCCGAATAACTCTTGGTTGGTTATCCTCGCTAGGGTTTTTCTAACAAGCGTAGAAAAACTTGACTTTGAACCGAAGCAAGGCTGTCGTTAGGTTCATCCCATGGGGTCTTGGGAAAGCAGAACCGCATTCCATAGTCGTTCAACTTGCATTCCAGCCTTGACTATAATACGATACCATCTTTCCAAGTTTCCAACTAAATTGTCAATTAAAAGAAAATCACGCTAATCGTTTTTTTAACGTTTACGTTTCTTCGTTATTAAATTCTTTGATACGAACAAATCCTGCGTTATCATAAAAATTATTTATCCGACAATTTTTTTGATAACTTTAATAATTATTTTTTATTGTTATATTGCATTTGTTATATTATAAAAAAAATATTTAGATATGTTGCAAATATAGGTTTATTATAAATACAGGTAATATTTTATGTCTACAGTTTGTTCAAGTTATGAATCAATTTTAAGAATTTGTTATTAAAAAGAAAGCCTGTGATTCTTGACAGTATCACCGATTGTTTAAAATACTTTTTTAAATGCTCAAGATTCGTATCAAGAAATTTCAAACATCGTATACTTCTTTTTCGTTTATTGAAACTACGCGTAGTAAACAGTGGTTGTTTATAAAATAGAATGAAAATATAGATCATGTAAAGAATATATTTGTTTGTAGAAATAAAAGAGAATCTCTTTGATGCTTACAGTGGGTCTAGAGGAGATCTCGGCTCGATTAAATTTAATGGTCAAGGCAGAACTAGCCGAACTGGTTGCAGGCGCACCCATGAACCCGGGTGATCCAGAAACAAGGTGCCAATATCTCGAGAAACTCTTAGGTAACTAAGCAAATATTTCTACAAGTCACAAAACTCAAACTGGATTTCCACATCAAATTTTATAAATTATTTTATTTGGTTAGAAAATTGGTGACATAAAATATTAAACATGTTATCAATTTTATTAAGTTTCTTTTACTCTTAAAATGAAATTATAATCTTCTAAATTTACTATTATTTGTTATAATACTTTCTAAATTTACTAATTTGTAAATTTGTAATTTTCTAATTTATTTCATTACAGTAAATTTATATTATTATAATGTATAATAATATATATTATAATATATATAGTATAATACATATGTAATAATAGATATAGTATAATAATTATACATTATTATTATATTTATATAATAATATAAATTGTTATATACTAAACAGTGTTAAAGTTTCAAGTACAATAATTCAACATAGTTTGTTATATTTTTTGTATGAAAACATAGTTGTACATTTTACTATAAATAATTTACTTATTTATTGCAAAAATGTATAGCTATGTTAAAAAATATTAAAAAATAATACAAAAACATATAATAATTATTATGCATTAATATTTATTAATATTATTATAAACAAAGTCTTTTTATAATTAATATAATTTGTATTAATATATAATTTATTATAAATTATAAATATGTATGATTACATGTATAGAAAGCTAAGACTTCATTTCTCTTCTATTACAGACCGGAAGAGGGCAACTTCTGTGATGGTGGATTGGCCGGAAGTTACCGGAAATCTTTACATAGAAGAGAGGGAACCCCCAAAAGCGAAAAAATTACATATCGCTCGAATTCATCGAAACATCGAAACGATTTTGAATCAGAAAAAGAATTCTATTGATCAGTAGAATCCAGAGAGTGTATTTTCCGCTTCGAATGAATTACACAATCAGATCGATGATAATTTGTATTTATACACGTATTTATAATTGTACTCGTCGTGGATAGAACGAATGACTAATGGTACAAAATCGTATTGAAAATTGTGTACACGAGAAATCTGTATTATTTTTTAATAATTTAATGTCTTTACACTTTTTATATAACTTTTCTTTTTTGTTATTTAAATAAATACATGCGTAAAGAAGAGGATGAACTCCTCGTACGAAGTCTCGGAGCTCGAACAAGATCGAGCGATGAACGACTTGACCGTTCAATTATTTATTTTTTTTTATTAGCTTTAAAAGCCGCCATCTTTGTAATATAATATTAACGATGTATCTACCGAGAAACAAAATAAAATGGTATAAACGGTGGAACTATTAATGCTTCTGTTCATACTTACAAAATCTCCAATCTAGTCATTATTTTTAAATAAAGAAGTTAGTTAACTAGTTTAGAAAAATATTACTGATAAGTTTATTTCTAGATGAATAGATTTTAACTTTGTGTAAATAATTTTTGTTTCAAATGAAACAATACATGTGAAATTAGAGAGGGTTTTAACTTGTAAAAGTTTAAGTTAAGTTATTATTTTGTTGATTACAAATTTGTTAAAAACAGACAATTCTTTTTTAATTCTTGAATAATTTGAATAATTTTGATTTGTTAGTTTAATGTATTACTACTGAGGGAGCCACTTGTTAGTGCTTAAGTATTATTCATATCAGTTATTTCAAAACCGAATTTGACCCCACCGCTTGATTTACTCGTTACTAATCAAATCGACTAGTTTTTGCTAGTAAATATTTATTTAAAAAAATGTTTCCATCAATTTTGAAAATGTCTCGTGTAAACCAGACAAAACACGTCGACATTTTCCCTAGGGAAGTCAGATTTGGTCCTTATCAGCAATTTGGATGACAATTATAAAACAAACGTTCAAATTACAGAAAACTTTTTTAAAATGGTACGAATATGTTGTATATGCAAACTCGAACCTCAAACTATTGACGATGTTTCTTTTCACAGGCAAGTAATTTAAGAAAAAATTATTATACTTAATTCAAATTTAAAATTAGTTTTGTTTAGAGGTTATACGAACTAACTTATTGGTTTTTCTATTTTTCATTAAAATATGTTTGTAATCATTGTTTAAATATTAAATTATTACACCTTAGAAATTTGTATTTTACCTCCTTCAACTCTTACACCTTATTTTATTAATACTCTGCATATTTTAAAATAACAAAAAAGTATAAAATACCGACTGTACATAACTATTTATATAATTTAATCTTTAGTATTCCCAAAAGAGAAGAATTAAGGGCCAAATGGTTCATAAATATAGGCAGAGAAGTGAATAAACATAGTGCTGTATGCAGCAGACACTTTGAAAAAAAATATTTTATTTACAAAGTATATGGAAATGACGTAAGAAGACTTTTGCATCCTACTGCTGTTCCAACTATATTAGATACTAAATTTAACAAGTATACTTTCTGTACATATTTGTTTTGGTAATAATAATGTTCCATTATTGAAATATATTATATACTTTTAGTGAAATTGTTAATGATGAAAATGTTAAATGTCAGGATGTTAAAACTGAAAATGTTGAAAATGCAAATATTGCAAATGAAAATGTTGAACTTGATAATTCTGTTAATTACACTGCAGTTTTATCAGAATTCGATGATACATCAGTATCATTTACTGATGCAGCAGGGAATAATAAAGTAACAGAGCAAAATGAAAGAATAGTTATTAAAAGTTCAAACACCCAAATATTGGAAGATTCAGCAGCTATAGATAGCAACATTGATTGTTGTAAGCAAACAGAAGTCAACTTCTCAGATGATTCACAATGTAGCATTGACAATTCAGAAGGTATAGAAAATAACAGGAAAATGAATTCTGAAAAATTGACATCAAAAAGGTAAAATTGTCAATATATTGTATTCTTGTTGGGCAAAATATTAAATCTTGAATTTCTTTTTTTAAGGAAATATAATATGTTCCCAAATTCATCAAAACCTAAACGCTTTTGCAATGCACGTTATATTGGGGATTTACGAAGAGAAGATTTCACTTCGAATTTAAGTTGGAATATTGTTCAAAATTTTGTGGTAGACTCGAGAAAAAAGCAGAAAGTTTTGAACCAAAAAATTAAGCGGCTGAATCAGAAAACAGAATATTTACAAGCATTATTAGAACATCTGAAGCAGGTAGATATACAGAGATTCTTAAACAAATTAAAAATATACAAGTTTTATTTATTTTACAATGTAGACATCTTTTTATCTGATTCTTAGAAAGTCCAGGGTAAAAAGTAGTATCTGTCAAAACAATACTTGATGACTTTATTCAATAGAACTTCAGAAGTTCTAGAAGCAATATACCTTACTTTCTTAAGGATGAACTGATATGCAAAAATGTGCAATTTTTACACTCCTATTAAAAATTTACCGATCATTGTGACCAGCAGAAAAGAATATATTTAAGAATACGTATATAAATTTATTTATGAAAAATGTGGTAAAAAAGAATGTTACTGAAAATAAAAACAGAATTTGCATACATGTGTATTTTGCCTGTGTTGATTTTTCTTTTATTACGAGACTATTTGTCTATAACTTCCGAAGTTAATTAGACTTGCAGTCCGATGTAAATTGATGCATATAATAGTAAATTAAACCAAGAAAATTGATGCTAATTACATTTTCACGGAAATGAAACAAATGGCACCATCTCTCCGGCGAACAGGGTGAACTACACGGTTTTGAAACTGTAGTTTGATTAGTTCTCACATATTACCACTCGATGGCGCCACGTGTATCGTTCTCTGTTTAATTCAATCAATGTAGTTAATTTTATTACTTTAGTTGACTATAACATGAGTCAGAAGGTAAAACCAATTATTATTTTGACTTTATCAAACTATTATCAATTTTTAACCATTCTTACACTATTCTAATTAGTCTAATCCTTTCTATAGGAATTATCTTCCTATATTTAATAATCAATTAATTAATAACGTCGCAAAAATATTGAATTTTATTGGAATTGATTCTAAATTTAATTTTAGTACATGTTCTTAAATTAAGATTTGATTACAGAATGAATAGTAAACGATTTTATTTTTAAAATAAAAATGAATACGATCAAACGACGATAGCTTTAAACATTAATCATTTGTTCAGAATTGCAGATAGAACTTTTCTTGACCGACGACTCTGATGATCATCACATTTCTGTCTTATGTGCTGCACTCTAACGGTAGAAGTTAAGAACTAATTAAACTACAGTTTCAAAAGTGCGTAGTTCACCTCATTCGCCGGAGAGATGGCGCCACTTGTTCCATTTTCGTAAAAATTTATTTAATAATGATTTTATTGATTAATATGCTACATATTTATTATGTATTAATTAATATTTTGTTTTTATGCTATTTGCAAAATAATCCGTGGGTCCAAAAATACGGATTATGTGTTCGTAACAATTGGCACACTATAGTGTATCTCGTCGATGATGTAGGGAATGACATAAGAATGGCAAGAAATTTTATTTTGCGTCACAAAAACCGTTCTTACAAATATCTTCTTTTGCAAAAAAAGAGCTTATTTGCAAAATTTTATCGATATTGGAGCATGATGGTTTTTCGCCACAGATTGGAATTTTACATTAACAAATTTTTACCGAATTACCGATCGTGTAGAAAGAAATGATGATTTGTAATATTCCGCAGAGTTGACAGGATGAAACTAGGGATTTAGAAAATATGCTTACTTAATCCACGCTCGTTTAATGCACGTTTTCTGGAATCTTGAATAATACATTTAACAAAGTCGTAGAGAAAATAAAGAATGTTTGATATTGCAGATAATTCTTTCATTAATGATAAAATAAAACAAATTCAGTGAAATTGTAACCATGACTTATCAACATTTTTATGGTTAAAACAAAAGGATGGGCATTAATGTCAACACAGTGGTTATTCTGTATTATATTTATTAATATATTTACTGATATAATACAGAACAAATTGTTTGAAAACTTTTTTAGAGATTTAAATCAATGTACACCACTATTTCCAGTGACTTTTGTCTTTTTGGTTTTGATATGACCTTTTTTTAAAATCGTTTTAATGACTTTGCATGGCGGGCTTCCCATTCGAATTACTAAAGATTAGGAACGTATTTTCTAAAATATCATTATACCTCCAGTTTAAATCGATGTATCTCGAAAATATCTCCCCACTGTTAAATATTGGCAGCTTCGATTCAGTACTTTCGATATCTGCTCCCTTCGATCGAGAGTAAAGAATTCGGTTTATGTTGCGGCTTGAACGTCGATTTCAATCTTTTTATTGTTTAAAAAACGATATTCAAACCGAATCGATTTTCAATGGAATTCCATTTGAATTCTCGATTATCAATTGGTCCTTTTTATCCTTCCCCGTTCGGCAAGAAAATGTTGGTAATTTGATTCAGAGAAAATAGAATACCCAATAGATGGCATTGAATAACATAAAACTGACTGGAAATATGACTCTTGAATATTTGTCAATAATATTCACATCTTTAATCTTAGGCATTGATATTCGCAGTACGGACGCTCCTCTTCGTATCGCATGTAATACCTGCAACCATTATTCCTTATAATTTCAGTGTAGTTTTAAAAGTTACTGGGAAAGAATCTATAAAAAATAATTTCAAGAAATTTGTATGAAAACATTTGCTTAATTGATTTGATTAAAATTATATAAGTTAATACATATTTATAAAATGTGTAGATATTTTGATTACATAGTACGTTAAATTTAAATGCAATAGACTCTGCTTATATTGTAAACTAAGCCTTTTTTTAAATTTGGAGACTTAGAAATTTAGGCTTTTCTATCTTAAGCAAACTAAGCCTAGTAATATACTCAAATCATTAACAACTCTTGTATGCTTGAAAAACAGTTTTGTTGTATAAATAGTAACAAAAAATTTGTATATTTTTACCTTGGGTTTGTGGTGTTTAGGCCCCCTATATCTGAGACCAGCATTCCTTCCATGTGTATTGTAGGCAGCGACTCTAGAAATGCGAAAACTAGGGGGAAATTTGGCCGGATCGTGTTCTCTTCCTGTTCCGGGCGTTGAACTGCTGCTCAGTAACCCCGATCTGTTTCTTATGCTGGGTAGAGGGGACATCCTCAGATCTTGAAGTTCTATTATATCGGCTTCCGTTGAACCCGGAAATGGAGAACTTGCTTTACTTCCTGTAACATTATGTTTCTTTCTTTTCCTTATTTTTCTTTAAATTCTTGATTAAATTAACTACCATGGAATTTATACTTATACATTTTTTCTTATTTTATATGTTATGTAACTATAATTAGTTGAATTCATACTTAAGAAATGTCTATGAAGTGCTACAGATCCAAATGGCTGTTGAAAAGTATTATTGATTATAAAAGTTTACCTGACTTAGAAGAAACCACCTTTTTTTCATCAGTATCTTTTTTCTTCGTTTTCTTTTTTGCTCTAGCTCCCCAGTAAGTGTAATTAACTGCAGCATACTCTAACAGAGCAGCAAATACAAAAACAAAGCACATTACTAAATAGATATCAATAGCCTTCACGTAGCTGATACGTGGCAGTGAGCTACGTACACCAGTCGAAATTGTAGTCATTGTAAGAACTGTCGTTATTCCTGCAACAAAAAATGGTACACAACCAAATAGTAATTTTCAAACAATAACAATGAAACATCATTGTGAAATCGTAATACATATTTAACAACTGTGGTTACCAAGAGCGACCCTGGCACTTGTTGCTTCATGATTAATCCAAAAGCTAACCCAACTCAGCATCACGATCAAGATACTAGGTAGGTATGTTTGGAAAACGAAATATCCAATATTTCTCTGAAGTTTGAAGCTCAATGAAAGTCTCTGATATATGCCAGTGGCCAGTCTTTCTTTACGATCATTTGTTTCATATCCAATTATTGTAAACTGTGGCAATTCTGCTTCTTCTACACCACGTACTGGAGTTTCTTTCCAATACATGACTACGTCCAGTACTGTATATCCATCTGAAAGATGATTATTCTATTAAAAGGTTATATATGGCTAAATTGCCTAAAACTACTGTGTGTGCTCAATAAGAAGTCCCCTGAAAGGAATGTATCAATTAGTTAATGGCTGAAATGTTTACATAAAACCAGAGTACAAGGCTAAGTGCATTGTTACCCCTACACCATCACAGGAGACTTCTTATGAGATCCGCATAATAGGTTGATTTTAATAAATCTTGGTAGTTGAAATTAAATTTCTCAAATTTCTAGTGAGATATCTATTCTATTACAATACTATTTTGTAGTACTTTGTCTCAAACTTATTATGTTCCTTTTATGTTTAAAAGAACGTATCAAGTAGTGATTTTCAAAGAAATAATCGGAAAATATTTCATTTGATCAAAAGCGGATGAGTTCAAATCAAGTTTTAATATATTTGAATTTTACCGCCATCTTGGTTCACTACTGCCCTCTTTTTCGAATTGAATAATCTCTCTCTGTCTTTCTTCCGTTTCCGATCAGTTTAGCGATTAATCAAAGCCGCGCGCACTGTTTCCGATCATTTCTTAGAGGATCAATAGTGTCAAGTAAATTCAAATTGATAAAGTGCTTAAAATTTGAACTATAAATATGGTGAAATATCTAGTATACTCCATAAGACTAAGCTTTACTTTAGGAGCAAAAAATTGTTGATTCCTTTTACAAGTACTCATAGTACTCGACAAGTAGAATCCAAAAATACCAATTTCAAGTTGTAGAATCCATTGTTTTAAAAGTTTTGCGTTTATGAAGTTAAGTGTTTTTAGTGTATTTGACAAGTTACTTTGACAATGTATTAACGCCCGAAATTGAAGATCATTTTGGCGGGAAAAGTTAACTGCGTTTTTTGAAGCTGGAAACAGTTGGAAACCAAAATGGCGTCGAACTAACCTAACAAATATCCTACAACAACTTTACATACACGTAAAATTTTAATCAGAAGATTCATAAACTTAAAATGGTATTTTAAAGAAAATTTAATTCGAAGTTTAATAATGGGAGTACGGAAAGGGTTGACAGTAGGATATAAGAGCTGTAGAAGACAGTATTGATCGTACAGCTCTCGATCTCTACGGTGCAGTTCTGCGAATCGAGCGGATAATAGTGCAGATCCATCATGCAGGCCAAGGTCGTCGTGAATCTCATGCCATAAGTGACAGATCCGTCCCCGGACAATCGGACGAGTTTATTACGCTCGGTCACGTCGTGCAAGAAACTGCGAACAAACCGAAAACCAACATTTTCTTTCTCAATCACATTCTATCGTCTACATAAGGATCTAGTGGAATGAGATCTGTCAATCTTCGTCTTTTCTTCCAGAAAAGGTAGTTTTCTAGAAAAAAAGACAAAGACAGCAACAATTTTGCTGCTATAAAGTTATAAATAAACTAAACACTATTTTTTCACATATAATATTTCAAAATATTCTTTGTATATCTTTCTTTGTGTACAGGTCGAAACTGACCCTGATTTTGCAACTTAGAATTAAAAATATATTTTTATAAAGTTTAAGGAGTTAAATTGTAAAATCTAGCTTATATAATTGTGTATTATATATGTGTATATAATACTGTATTCTAACCTATATAATTGTACACAGAATATTTTGGAAAATAAAGTATGAGAAAGTGGTGTTTGAGTGCATCAAAATCTTACATCAGAAAAACTTGTTCTTATTTCCGTTGTACAAAGTAATGAAAGAAGAGAAAAGGATTGCCGGCGTTTCTCAATTTCGCCGCATGAGACTCTAAAGTTAATTTAAAGTTTTCTTTCACTCTACTAGATCCATCATGTTCTCAGTTCAAAACATTAGAGTAAATAGGATTTTGTATAGGATGAACTGAATTACCTTTCTAGGAAAAATGGGGATGGACTGGGAAATTACTGAGCACTGTAGACATCTGTGGGAAAATGGCGATATAAGAAAGGGGTACCAATAGGGCGAAATAGCGGATATTGGAAATCACAAAATTTTCTAATATTGTGTTTTAAATGGTTAAATTCTGAAATCTCAACGCTTCCAAATACCCAAATTTTCAAATTGAATTTTTTCAAAAAATTAAAAAAATTATTATCATCTTCAATTTCTGATTTTTAGGCTTTTTTGGAATTTTTGAAAATTTTAGAATTTTATAGAACATCATATCTGTTATATTAATTACTAAATATTTCGTGTAATATTTCTAATATAATATTATAAATTACTTAATATTATTATAAAATACTTTATATTATTAAAATATTTATAAATCATAATTATTATAAATTAGTAATTATAATTATAAATTTATATTGCACTCTTATAAATTGTTAAATATGATTATGAATTAATATTATAATACTTATAAATTACGAAATTAACATTTCGTATAATAAATCGTTTTTTGTTTATTGGAACGTTTAGATAACACAGGTTCTCCGATATCTTTTTTCTGCTCACCTATTTTTATCGTTGGCAAAAAATGTGTCTGGAACCCAAATCTTTTCCGCGAAATCTCCGCTAAGGGTGAGAACTTCTTCTTCTTGGGAAAACGCTAGTCTTTCGTCCTTCCAATATTGATTTAAGTACATTGTTATCGTGTAATCCTGTGGAAGAAAATCGTGCCCGTTTTTAACAAAATTCGGAAATGAATGCGATGTTTTTAAAATTTTCAAATTTCGAAATTATGGAATTTGGAAATTTTAAGATTTAGGATTTTGGGAATTGGGATTTTGGAAATACGAAAATTTAGGTGTTAGTAAATTTGGAAATTTAAAAAATTGAAAATTTGTTCTTTTAAGAATTTTAAATATTGGTTGTTCGGATATTAATTGTTTTTAAATTAGAAATCTGGAAATTGAGGATTTTTAATTTAAAAAACTAATCAATTTGGAAATTTGGATGAATTAAAAAATTGAGTACTTGAAAATTTCTAATATGACATAGTATATGAAATTAAATTCTACTGTGACTTTAAATGTTCAGTTACATTCTATAAAGTTGATAAACACATATTTGTATAAAGTTAATGAAACTGTTCTAACCATATTCACTTCTGAGATTGCATCAAAACTGGCAATTGTAAGATCCATACCAACCAACAGGGGTTCACCTGAAGAATTGAAACAAAAAATTGTTAACAATTAACTTCGATAATTAATGTATGATGTTGTAGACAAAATAATTTTTCTTGATTTCTAAAGATTAATATTTAAAAAAACAAGTAATTTATATAATTGAAATTAATTCATGTTCTAAATACTCAATTCATTTTAATTTGTCTAAATCTATTTGCTGTATGTATTTGATTAAAACGTATTTTAATATTAAGAAAAACAATGGTGGAATTTTTAGTCCATCTAGTAGTGAAGCTATTGAAAACTATCGTTCATTAATTTATTATCATTTCAGTAACACGCATGGAATTGATCTAAAAATTATAAATATAGGTTATGTTTAACAATAGATTGATTTTAGAATAAATGATTAACGTTTAATTTAAAATTGTACACTCACCGCCAAAATTCGGCCTCAATCGAATATCGTAACCGTCGAGGATACGAGATATAGTTTGTGTTACATTTTCTAATCTATCCGATACCCCTGTGTTCTCGAAATTGGTCCTGGAATTTTTACTAAAATCACTTGCATAAAAAAGGAACATCTCGTAATTTTGTAAAAAAAAAATATAGACAAAATTTAGTGTAGAGATGTAAATATTGTATAGGAACATTGTATATGAATACAATAATGCACTATTTTGTGAAAATAAAAGTCACATTAGTTGCATAAATAAGTTGCAATAGTATTTCTTAAAAACATTCGTTGACATAAAAGGAACAATACCATTATCTCAATTAATGCTTTTACCTTTTGAATTTGCTACTTCCTGTCATTACGACAGCATATAAATATCATGACGATAAAAACTCTTCATTTTCTGACGCGACAATATCGAGCAATTTACGAATTTTGTCTTTGTTCCGAAAAAATGATACATTACCCGATACGGATAAAAGTCTGATCCAACAGAAAAAGTTCACAACACGTTTTCATCTTACCAGATACAGAAAAACAACTTATGTCCGTGGATACTGCGCATCGACACAGTTTACGATCTATCCTCGATTCGTTGCACTAAGAATTATCATGATGGATCCATTTGTCGATCCATTTCGATTTGCCACAAAAAACACTTTAAGATCGTGAAACAATAGTATAAAACCGTCGACCATGATGCAGTCAGTTAATGCAAAACCGCTTGCTTTCTTGCGAATCTTTCTCGCCGCATGCAGTCGATTAGAAACCGTGATTTGAATCACTTGAAGTAGTATAGCAAGCTATTATTGCGACTGTAGTGTACGCGACGGTGGTGCCAACCGTCGCTGAGCGGCGATTAAGCGAAGTAACGTCAGTTACGCACTAGCTATTGTAAGAGCGATACATGCAGTCTTTTGTACTTCTTTTTGTTAGAATAAACCCACAGTACTTTCAGCAAAGGTCTACTAGACGTCAATACCGGATTTTAAGAAATGCCTGTGCATCTTTGTTAATACAGCGTAAATACCATGGCAACTTATTTATACATCTAATAAATATCCTCGTACAATTGAAAATGAAATAAGTATATTGAATAATTAAAACTATTCAAACTGTTACACACAGCCGATACATTATTAGCACATTGTTTCGAGCAATAACTCTTTCACTATGTCAAGTATTTTATGTCTTTTGACATTAATTTGTAATTGTACATAAATTGAAATCAAGTTCTAGTTTTATAATATATCATAGCATACTGAACGTAAGTATGCTAACGTATACTGAACGTATACGTTCATTATACTACGATATACGTTTCTATTTTTAATTCGAGTGAAAGCAATTGTACGATTATATATAGTTTGTAGTTACTAACAAGATTTCTTATAACGTTTATACAGTTTATATGATTTCTCTATTTTTTTATATTCGTTAAAGTAGGTATTTCGCTTTAATTTGGATAAGAGAGGTTCTATTTAAAACTTTTCATTCGGATGAATTGTTTCGTTAGTTGAATATAGTTGATGATTACCAGGCAACTAAGTGAATCATCCGCAGCAGAAGAAAGATCTGCTGCAACCACATCTTGCGGTGCATTCTTCAAAATTACGTCAGCAGGTAGAAGAGGATGTCATCTCGTTAGGTTCTTGGACCTCGACATCGAGCTGCCAGAAACTGCAACCAGAACCCGACCTGATTTCCGCCCTTGACCTTAATTGCACATTATCATAATACCACTTAATTTTGTATTCTTTCGATATTACACACAATATTTTAATATTCTAATCGTTGACCCGTTGTTGCACGATTTTTTCGCTCTTAAAAGAGTCTATCTTTAAACTTTTAATAAAGTAATAATAAATAAATAATTTTTATTTTACAAATTTATTTCGACAAAAATAGTATATCGAAAATCTATAATTTTTTGAGAAAATACAAGTTGTAATTACAAGAGATTCATTTGATTAATTATAAAATTCATGTTAAATTAATTAATTATAAATTCATGCGTATGTAATTACAAGATACAATACATATATTAAATTAAATAAATAAGTGTAAAAGTTCCGTCGACGTTGGTTAATGAAAATTTCTACTGGTATTTTACCTTTTTTTACGTTCTATGTACTCTCCATTTAAATTGAAATTCGTAACGAGTTTTTTATCCATAAAATCTATAAAATAATTAAACGCCCGTTTAACTTGTTTCTGTTTGATAAATCCCGAGCCATTTAAAAAGTTGTGCAATGACCTGAATGAATAAAAATCTGTTAAAGCGATGTCAGTGGAATATGGGGATTGGGTAACATCCCCCGACCAAACTTCTTGATTGCTTGCTGGGTAATCATTCCAGTATGAACCTAAGCATTATCGCGATGAAGCGATATTACTTCCCTGTTCACTGAATTCAATCGTTCAATTTTTCATTTTTAACTTGTTGAATATGTACTGTAAAACTTTGCGCTTATATATACGTCAGAATATTGCTTCTATTTATAAGTTATAATAAAATGAAAAATACAAAACGGTGGAACTTTTACACTGTAAAAATAATTTATTTCATGTTAAATTCATGTGTGACGTGCACTATGATTAATATAAGCGAATAAAGGTTGAATATTGAATTTGTTTAAATTAAAAATATTTTTGAAATGTACAAACAAGTTAAAATTATTCTTTTAACAAATATTTAAATATTCAACTTGAACAAACAACTAAAAAATATTATTTAAACTAAAAGTATTGTTGCTCATGATAATAAATTATTATAAATTACTATAAATCACTAAATTACTAAAAATTAACTATTATAAATTATAGAGTTATTATAAATATTTGTATTTTACTAATAAAATATATAAAATATTTTCAACTGTTCATAAGAATAAATTATATAAAAATATTCAATTTCATTACAGTAAAATTTTAACTTAAAAAAATAGTTTTAACAACGCCATTCAATATATAAATGACTAATATAAAAATTATTTAATTGTTTACAGTAAAGTGTCTAATTCATATCACTAAAATGACTAAAGAAATATTAATAAAGAGCAATTTTTATTATTTTTCTAAAAATTTGAGTATTTTGTTTCTAAAAGATTTTTTTTAAATTTGAATATTTATGTAAACTTTCTAAAACATTTGAATATGTCTTTGTAAGATTTCTGAAAAATTTGAATACTGTCCATTATTTCAAAATATTAAATATTTTATTTTGAAAAATTATCTCAAAAATTTGAATATTTTATCCCTATAGTCTGTTTAAAAAATTTGAATACTTTGCCTCTATAAACTAATTAAAAAATTTTAATACATCTGTCTATAAATAATTTCAAAACATCTTATCCCCACAAATTAACCCAAGCCATTAAATAAACTGTCGCGAGGTAGGTTAGGTGTGGAATGAATAAATATTGCTCGCAACAGTGTGTTTGCAAGAGGTAAGGTGTTTAATGTGAACTATGGAGACTATGTGTGATATTACAGAAATGCTATTGAATACAATGTTACGGAATCGGTATAGTATGTTCAATGATGCAGAATTGGAGGCTCGACTGATTATATCTGTTTTGACGCCCTTCCGCAGTATATATAAACTTTTCGGAGAAGGCGTAACTCCTTACACAGTTGAGGGTGGAGTTATTTTCCTCGCAGAGTCCTCCCATTTTCGACGGGGGAAAGAGTATTGTAAATTAGAATTTGAGAGTCGAAAATGTCCTTCCGGACCGCGCTGACCATGTGGCCTAATGAACCGTAACGGGACATGGCTGGCAGCGTTTATGGTAGGGTAGTCTATTGAGCTACGCACGTCCAAAAAACATAAAATAATTTCGCCGACTTACAGACTTTAGGGTAGGCTTAACTGCCTACACCTAAACATCTGTAAACGGTCAATGCTAATTTCTACCAACGCTGCGAACCATGTGCCGCTACAACAGTAATAAGTATAGTAATTGTCGTTCTATCGATATTTTAAGCATAATATGGCTAATAATATGAGTTACATTGATAATACTAAGAGTAGTGAGTATAGTAATTCTCGTTCTATCGATC